TGTGATATGTGTCAACGATAGCGCTTCCCATCGTATATAGCAAGCACTTCCTCTGTGTCATACGTAAGAATATATTACAAGTGAAAAAGATCGGCACAAGCGATGAACGTTCGTCGCGAAATCGTCATTCATACTCAACCTACTTTTTTTTATAATTTCCAAAATATAATTTAACATTTTCATACCTGCGCGCGTATTGTATATATGCGTACATTAAAAATACGTATATCTATATAAAACGTACATTGTATTTCTGTATACAAAAATAAACATAATAAACGTACAAATAAATATGTAGATAGATTTTACAAAAATAAATTTTTATGTAAAGAAATAAATATGCAGAAATAAATAAAGTTATAAATTAATATGTAACATAAATTCTAGAAAAATGTATATAACTCTCTCGTATTTATTGTAACATTATTAAAAAAGGTGATAATAAATAAAATGTTAAAATGTTCAAAGAGAATATTTCTTAGGATAGAACAGACTTTACAAGGATTAAGGGAAGACTAAACAACAAAGAAAGTAATACAATAAATAGTCAAATACGACAGAAAATGGATATAAATTTAACGAGCTCTTGCATTCACCTTTTTCACATCAGCCATGCTGTTTTTCAAAGAAGTGATAAATGACCAAGGACGAGAATGTTCGATAGAAAGAAAGATTCTTAGTATGGTATATAACAGAAATTAAGGGAAAGAAAGATAAAGGAAAGAACGGTAATACGGTACGACGGAAAAGAAAAGTAAAGAAAATGTAGGATTTACATGCATTACAGAGTAATTATTACCATTGTCCAAATTCGTAAATCGACAAATTCTGGCTTGTGTTTCACTTCTCGTGTGCAGTCATGCATGCTTAACTGCTCTACGGCATCTCCTGCGACTGGTGTACATTCCATGTAGAATTTGTACATAAAACGCATTCATACTGCTCTGTGTGTACGGGTGGATGTGTAACATGAGGATTAACTATTGCAAATTCCAAGGGATTTTCTGTGCTTTGCGAAGTAACCAATTGCATTATAGGATGTATTCGCTGTAATTTTTAGATCGTCAAAAAATTATGAATTATTAAACGTTGCGATCGTAAGATTATAATCGACAAAATGAAAAATTGTTTTATAAGTTGTGCGTTAACTTGCAAATTATCAGATATTATACGAAATGAAAACTAAAAGACGCCTTAAAAATTATATACATTTATATCGCAAAAATTAAGTTTTAAATATACATTTAAAAAATTCTGTTGTTTGAGTAAATAACTTAGGTTAATTTATAGTATAGTAATTGTTATATCTGAACAATGGCTACGGGCGAGGGGCAACCATTATGGCAATCTGTGTACATTTCTTTAGATTTAGAAATATATTGCTAGTTTTGCGACAGTACAATACTAGCAATACGCTATCAATACATAGCTGTACATAGCAATAAATTAGTAATACTTGGCAATATTATGCACAATAGGTGGCAGTACATGAGGTAATAGATAGCAATATTATTGACAATACGAAAGCAATACAATAGCAATGCTATAAAGTGTGTTGTATTGCCACAATTAGCAATCACTGTACATTTTTTTAGTAGTAGTTGATCTCTCGGTTACATATGGGCATAGATAAGAAGCGTTTCCTGATAAAAACATCATAACAATTTAGGTTTCTTCGACATACGCGATGTAGATCTATATTATTTTCGACATCTGGGATATTCGAAAATCACCGCGGTACACTTCATCATATTAAGCAACGACATTTGAAATTCGGTTCGTTAAAAGTTGAATAAAATAAACGAATCGTCGAAAACAATATTCGATCCACGCTTCCTTCCTTTGCTACCCGCGAATCGCTTTTAACGAGGAAAATTTAATTATAACTTCGAAGGCGAGATCTCTCAGCACGGCTTGTTAAAATGAACAAAGTATCCGCTATCGCGTATACACAGCCATATACACGGTCGTTCTATAAAGTGTAATTTTACAAATCCCAGTGGGAACACGCATAATCTCTTTAAACAACGCGGATTATATTAACGCTATACTTGTAACAGACGAGCCCGAGGAAAAACATGTCTCGTCCATTCTGTGGTTTGTTGCGAAATAAGTATCTATTACCAGCGTCGCGGTTTAAAAGCACACCCCGCCGTTCCGTAAAACTTTTTATTAATTTCATGATTTCTTCCCGACGTAAGAAAATTGCAAGAAGAAACAGCCGTTCAAGAAATTGTCAAGAAATGCATAAACAATGACAGATTACAATGCATAAAAAAATATCCAAAAATTTACAATTTAGAATTATTGATATCTGACTTTACTCTATTTTCATGTAATTCCCTTCAATTCTTTTTTACGTGAAGGCGATAAGATCACCACGTTAGTGATTTCTCCAGACGAGTGCACTCTTAAAGATTCTCACCGTATTACCCCGAGAGTTGAGGGTAATGGTTAATCGGGTAAATAGCGTAACGGCAAAAATATACGGACGACACGTTAGTCGTGAAAACGCAAGTACATCAGGCGAACGCCGCGGAATTTCAACTGTGAACTATTTTGAGGGGGGGTTCCGCAAATGTTTTCGGTTCCTATTTCGACCTTCGATTCGCCGGCGGCAACATCCCTCGCGCGCAACACCGCGCGGTGTCACGTGGCAGAACATCGAAATTGCGCCATTAATTTAACGGCAGAGAGACAGAGAGAGAGAGAGAGAGAGGAAGGGAAAACCTGCCACACATTTTCCCTGTAATTTCCAGCCAGAGAAACATAGGAAAGCTTGTGTCGCGCAAGCTTCGAGGCCCGCGAGGCGTATTGTATCGGTATACCCGGTCGAATAATTTTATTATTTTGATTCTCGCCCAAGGGAAACGCTAAATGCACCGCATAATGATGAGTTGACAATGGCATTGTTAACAGTATCGCGAGAGAATACGAAGGCTTGGCGTGGTAAATATTTCTTTTTATCCGCAGAATATATGTATCGAAACGTGCTGCAATTTTGAAAATCATTTATTTTACATCTGGATAATATTTGTGCATGGGAAAAACAGTGTACATATATTGACGTTGCAAAACGATAATAGCGATAATAGTAATAATGACAATAATTATAATCGATAATAATACGCTATTACAACAATCCTCATTAAAATTTTGCTCGTTCGATTTGGCCTTATAAGCCAGCATCGTTGATTGTAAAACAAACGGAGTTCGCAGTGACGCATAAATCGTGAGAGAGCGCGCTTGCCGATAAAACAAAATCTCTTTCATCTTTTGCTTATCAGCGTGTCGGCTACATCGGTCCATTTTTCTTCTGAACCTTTGCGTAATGACGCTGAAAGGGTTCGATCGGCTGAACTACCGTCGTCTGCGTTTGACAACGTCACGAGCTGTGCACGTAACGCGCTCGATCGATTGCATCCTGCGTTCAATCGAGAATCAACAGGCTTGGGAGCATTATTATTATTATTTTAATTAATTCCCTTTATACACATTAAACTCGCTTTTCGATCGCACGTGCCATCGCCGCTCGTATTTTAAATCCGTGGCACGTGATTTAGATTAGAGACGCGAGGAATCCCCCGTCCTGAATTCGCCATGCAAAAAGTGTAGCGCGTTTCCGTTTCTCGAATCTTTCTTCCCTTCCTTCCGTCCCGTTCGCCGCCTCTCTCTCTCTCTCTCTCTCTCTCTCTCTCTCTCTCTCGCTCTCTCTCTCGGAGACGTTAAAATTACTTCCATTTCGCCGCAGTGCGATCACGCTCGCGAAACGTAATCGCGCCGTTTCGCGATCGAAGGCACGTCCCGGCGAGCGTGCCAATGTTCATAAAAATGTTCACGATGTCGCCGGAACTTTAAACCGCCGTCTATTATTCCGACGAGGGGTAGACGAGCCAACCGAAAGTTTCCCGATAAATCATCACACCGAGGCCGTGGAGAGACGAGGGTAGAAAGCACGAAGTCGCGAAAGCAATAAATATTAATAGCGAATGGTTACTGCATAATCGATCAGAACTTTTCCAGAGTCATTCCGCTAGTTGAATATGTCCGGGTATATACCGGATGTTCCAGATTACTTGTGTCTCTTTTCACGCACGTAAATCTTTCGGACAAAATTTGAGATTTGAGACCCAACAAAAGTATCGCGAGACGCCGATAATCCCCGACTCGTAAGGGATAAAAATTGCGAGAGTTTTAGAGAATCAACATCAAATTACTTATTCCAAATTATTTCCATCGATTTTAAAATTAGTATTACACAATTATTCGCTTGATATATTTAAGATAGAAATTTTTTTTGAATAAATTTTGAAAAAGAAAGAACGCAAAAGAAAGATGACCTGATCGAAACTTTGCTACAGTCAAAAACTAATCGAACTAATCGAAGAAAATATGTCATCATAATCTGGAACACCTTATATATGGTGGTGGCTTCGTGCAAAAAGCAAGTTATACCGGAAAACCTTTTTAAGTCGCCCTTTGTTCATTCCACCGAGGGAAGAAACAATTACCGGACTTTTTAAACACCCCAGCTTGACGCGATCCCGGGTCATCGCTCGTACTTGAAGAAACGTAATTATCAGAGAAACCGTGCAAGAAGCTTCTCGTTTTGTCGCGAGTAAAACAATGGCTTTGTATGGCTGCAGCCATGCGTTCGCGGTAAAGTAATTGTTCCAGCATTAGCGTCGCCCGGTGCATTTTACTACAAGCGATTAGTTTGCTCGAATGCCACATTAACGATAATTATTATCGTCATTATCAACGGATTGAATTAGGAATTCAAGCATACTTTCTTTATTCTCGAATTGTTAGACGGAATTGAAGGAATTTTTTTTTCTCTGCGTAACAAGACGCTTTGCAAAAATAAATTCAGCTACGTGGTGGTTTCTTTGACGGTTCTACAAAGACGAAAGTCTAAAAAGCCTTACCTTCATACCGAAATAATTAGCTACATACGAAAACTGGATCATCAAGATCCTATTAACTTGCTGCCGATCGCATTTTCCGTCTCGTTTAATATTTCTCCTTTATTTAATTTCTCATTACACATTATAAGCATATTTTATATTGTCACATATTCGTACATTTTACGCACGATTTACATCGAGCGTTCTCACACCGTTATATTCCCGCCCGTTACAATATTATTATTCATGATATATATTATTGTATTTGTGGAATCGGTATCATTGAAATTACTAATGCCGATTTCACGATGACTCGATAAATATGTATAAACGTTACAATGTGTATATTCGATATTACTAACTAATGAGACTGCAGCGAGCTTAATGCGGGATATTAGTTTGGAATCGTCGCCGCGTTTAATCGTAATATACACCGAACACGCAGCACCACGCGTATACGTGATTGTTTTCGAACACGTGATACGAGTAATTATCACGCTGCACGTCCCAGAGACACTGGAAGGCCGCATGTATACTTTGATGGAAGCGCTGGATTATGTACACTTGCGTCACCATCTTGTATCTAGTCGCAAACATAGTCGTATACAAAATAAAGAAATATTTTTGCATGGCTTATCGGATGGCATCATACGCCTAATAATCATTTTTGTTGAGTCTCATACAATTTTGATAAGTTTTACATAATCATCAAGTAAATGTCGACATTTATTTATGTACACATATTTATTTATGCTGTTCACTATTTTCTTATCAGAGATAGCCGTATCATATTTAATACGCAAAAGAAATAATTTAGGATAGACATCTCGATACGCATGAATGTAACAGCGATAATTGTGACCTTTTAAAACTTAGAAAATGAAGGATACGATACTCGTATTTTTTGCAAGAAAGGATTACAGCGTGAGGATGAGAAAAGTGAGATGGGCGTAAATGGGGAGAAATGGAATTCAATCTGAAATAAATTTCCATAATTTCAATACCTGTCGTAATCCTTCTTGCCGACAGCCTTCAGCACGTCGCTGGCAATTTCCAAACACAATTTTGATGTCTGATCCGGCTGGTATGACGTAATCGCCGATAATTTGATCTCCATTACGTCACGAACGATCTTGTCGACCGTCGCTGCGTGAAAAGCTTTAAACGGTTCCAGACGAAAGGTGTTCTGATATCTCGGGATCTGGCCAGACGACAAGAAGCGCTGTACCAATATTGTCCGCAAGGATGGAACTTAACGCGGCAATAAATCAGCGGAAAGATTCAACGACGATAATAAATGAAACGGCCGTGGAAACGACCGCGCCAGATAATAAGAAGATGCCGATGGTGTTGAAGAGTCATAAAATGAGTGATATGGCAAAGACATATTTAATGAAATAAAATTTCAAAGTTCTAAAATTTCGGCAGCGTTAAATCAAAATCGCAAAGGTCACGACTTTTTTAAAAATTGCGCGAAATTTTTCTCTTATCTTTTTTTTTTTTTTCCAAGAAAGCATTTTAAAAACGAGATGATTCACTAGTCGAGATTCACCTGTATTAAAAACTTGTTCATTTTTCGCGCTCACTCAATTTATTTGCGTCCATCCAATTTATTCCATCGCGCTGGATGGAGAACATACCTTAAGTCGATCCCCACGCCTGTGAAAGAGTACGCCGGCCCCATTGGAACCAATCATGGAAAGCTTCGACAGCGTTTTTCTCTTGGTCTGGCTCTGTGTCCGGAAATAAGAAACACGTACCATTTTAGATCCCATGGCGATACTCCGTAACGCTCGATATAACGCTCGGCAAAAAGAAAGAAAGTATATAAAAGCGGTTTCTCCGCATAAATTTCTTAGTTCCTCTGATTGATTTGAATATTTATAGCACCCACTTTCGCGCATCGTAGAATATTAAATCGATAAGGAATATACATATTGCATTGAAAGCATGGAACGAAAATAAGATGGATGCACCGGCGTGAATTATTTTTGAAGCCAACACTTTTGGCTGTGTTGATTAAATTTTGAATCAAGATAAATTAATTATACCCTCGGCGTCTTTATTCTGCGGTTGTACGTCTTTGACAAATATACATGACATTTATAAGATTACTAACCTGACAGGTTTTTTGTTTTACTTTTGCATACATTTGGTCGCGTTTACCTCTGTATCCATTGCTACTCTATTCAATCTTTGGAGCACACTCTGCCATAATTTAGTCTTTGATGCCGAGATTGAAGTGTCTTGTTTACTCTGGTGTTTACTCATTTTAAGTAGCCTCCAGTGACAAGTGACATAAACGAATTGTCCTCGAGAGGAAGGACCGCCGCGAACGGTGGCGCGGAACAAAGGACGCTCATCAAAAGAATTTCAGCCGCGTGGCTGAAAGGAGGAAATTATTGCAATCTCCGTCCGTAGCTCGCGAGCAATTTCGGCAAATAATTACGCGCGCTACGCCGCGAATAAATCCTATCGTAGAAACGTCCGGGCGTAGTCTACGACATTCAAATGGGACCGAAACTCTTTAAACCACCACGCTCTTGTAGATGATCGTTTTTTCTAATGTTTAATATCTGTCACAAAACGATATTAAAATAAATAATTGAACAGTGTTTTAGTTGATTATTTACGATATCTCTAAACTGCTTCGATTCATAAGAGTTATAATAATAAATACCGATATTTTGTTACATTTTTATTTTTGAGATTTTCTTAGTCTATTTGATTTTGTATTTATTATAAGTCACTTTACACAGCGACAACGAGAATAGTGTTGAATTCTGTGCCGGGCAGCATCGTTCCCTAGTGTAACATGCACTCTTGTAAGTCTCGTTCCCTGTAGCTGTCCCGGGGCGTCCGACTCCACGGGACCGTTAAGTATCGAATCGAGATCAATATCGAGCGGGTTCGGCGTCGTTGGGCATCGACACGGTTTGTCAATTGCAGATGATCCCGCACCACAAACGAACCGCGTTTATCCGACGCTTGTGCCGTTGCAAACACCACGATCGATATAAGAGGAGTTACGCCCTCGAGCTCTGCTAAGCTTTGAACGGTAGAACGTTAAGTACTTCCTTTGACAAACTAAAGGAAATTTACCTACGCTCTCGGCTCAACTATGCTGAAAACACCTCGCCGGGGATTTATTTAGTAATCGCTGCAATATTCATATACTTTAGCGAATATTAAGAACACCCAGCGTAAACGCGTCCTTTCCCGAGACCTTCGCCGCGATCGGCGTAACGCAACTTAATGGTTTGGTTGAATAGCGCGATAGCAATGCTTTGGCACGTCGAGCGCGCGTGATAAAAAGCATCCCGTCGAGAGTTTTGTCGTCGGAATGACGCTGACGCCGACCGCTAATGAAATCATTAATGCCATCGTGATTATGATTTGCATTACAATGGCGTCATTATTACCGTAGGTTTATCATAAACCATAAACCGAAGCTGTTACAAAGCCGGTGATACCATCATTACTACTTCACGGTGCTTTATTTCAGCGCCGTATAATTATTTTAGTTAACTGTAATTTTCTCTCAATCTCTTCCGCGACCATCCGTGCTACCCCCCGTGCATATACAGAAGCGCAATAAAGGCAAATGAGCCGTTCCACTTCCGTTCAACGAGCGAGAAAGTTCGAGATTTTACTTTTTCCTTCTTTTTTTTTTATCTGCAGGGCTCGGTAAAAGCAGAAGCGGATTGGATAAACAATCGACAGAATTTCTCGGACGATCAGCAGTTACGCGGCTAACTTTCACGAACGTGTCGCAGAAACTCGTTGGCTAACTCGATAAAACTCCGCTCCCGTGCCGTACAAGCATCTAATGCGGCAGCAGCCGCCCGGTTTAGTTTCTTAGCGAAATTCTTAGACGCTCGACCCCGAAACTTTCCTCTCTCGCTGTCCCGCGTATTTGACATCCGCGGATAATGCCGTTGTCCTCCGAAGAACCGATAAAAATCAGTACACGTTGCGGAGAGATATATAACGTTTACTTCCCTTCGAGGGATCGATCGTTAAATGATTCGCGAATCGAATCGATGTTTTAGAGGTAAACTGTCTAACATGATTTGGAAGATTGCTATTTGCGGCGTTTCCAACCAGACACTCGCCAGGTACTCGCCGGCCGATTTGAAATCGATATTTTCTCAGCGCAGAGGATTGAATCCGACACATAATCCTCCCTCGCAGCTGTTCAATTCGAAGCTTTAAGTATTTTTGTGACTAAGCTTCGCACGCTCACAATGCTAATCTCTTCGCACAGATCTCTCCGAAGCGATCCATTGTGCCATTTTTGGCAACGGTTTCGTGGACTATTATATGCGGAGCTTAGATTCTGTGAATCGGACGCGAAAAGAAACAGCCATGAATTTTCTTTTCCGTTTCTTTATATACCCCTGTCTTGCACCCCATCCCACTCTGCTCCATTCTTTTATATTGTATACAATCCTGTGGATACAAACACACGTGCCACATACGTCCTATCGCTTATAAGGTTTCGACCACGGGCGAAACTCCTCAATAAGGGCTGCATTTGCGTGTATAGTGCATTCCTCGAATAATTCAACTTGCTTCGCATTTATACGGTTCACGTACCTACGCCCGGGCCGGGACGTCAAACAACATTGTTATTGATTAAACTTCAACGCGGAGAAAATACCGAAAGAATTTCTCTATCATTTTCTTAGTTACTTACGCTTTTCCATACGCGTGTTTCTTGCGTCACGCTTGTCCTCGAAGTTTAAAAGCGCGGGCAATAAGTATCGGCTCAAGATGCGGAATGAGATACGCGGTAGAACGGTGTCGCAACACGTACCAATTACGCAAGTCTCGCGGCGATGGGTTTTTCGCGGCTTTTGCGGAACCACCGGCGCGTCGGGATTTTCCACGGGAATATCCGGGAAAATTGCTTTGCGCTCAAAAGCTTCACGCGATTACGGCGTAAACTCGTTCATTAGGGCGATAGCTCGAGCGCGTGGGCGATACCTCGAGCGCGTTCAAAAATTCGATCATCCGACCTAACTCGCGCGATCTCACGTAACTCTCTCGCCGAGATGGAACTCGCTCTCAGACCACGTCGCACCAATGTTCCCTGGCTGTCGTGGCAAAAGACGAAAATTTGCAAACGAAGTTTGCGAAACGTCGCCAAACTCGCGAGAGAAGTCTCTCTCGCCAATCCGGACATTTTATTTAGAATGTTTTCCAAATCTTTCTAAAACATATTTATTTTTTTCCATATATGTTATTGTACGTAACTTTTCCCATAAATTTTTTACACGTAACATTTTTACATTAAAATTTGATAGTTCGTGAAATACAAAACGAATCAAACCGCATCTATTAAAATATCACGAATATTCCCAATTCGGGTATTAATCGAATGTCGAACCTTTCCGTTTTCATTTACACATCACCGCAGATAATTCCCCCTTTTCCCCTCCCTCTTTGTCATCTTTTATCCGCTATTGTAGCGAGGCTTTTTTAATTTATTTTTCTTTATTTTTAATTTAGAAAAATGTAACAACGAATCTAGGATGACAATTTACATCTTGTAGAGCCTTACGCTTCTTGCCAAGTTCTTTTTCTCTCCAGAAAATACCGTGAACTTGCGGCGAATAAGGGGTGACGATAGAGCGAGTGGTAGAGATCGACGTTATGTCCGCCATGAATTTGCATCGGACGGCGACTACGCTTCGCGGCGGGACGCCTAACAGATGCTCCCCACGCGCGATTTGCATAAAATGAGACCGGACAGGATCCGGTAGCTCCCGTGGGGGGCTCGCACCAGGAGAGCTCCCCCGGACTACGGTTCCCGGTAAGAGCCCGCCGTTCCATTATCGGCGCAGGTAGCGGCGATTCCGGGATTCTCCGATGCGCCGTTGAGTATAAGAAGGGCAACGCGTTAACCCTTTGACCCAGCGCGGCGCGGTGAACAGCGACGCGAATGCGCGTCACGCGCGTGCTTTTACGGATTATGCTTTTCCGATTCCTGCACTTAACGCTAGGATACCCGTTGGCACGGTTTTATATTGGGTCGTTAGGTCTTGCGAGAGATACTTCTCCACAGTTTACAACTTTAAACCCGGTACAATTGTATACCTTGCCGTGGCGTTTCTAGATAAAATTGCACGAATTACGAGTACCGTGCATCCATAACTTTCTCTTCCAATTTTATTAAACTACGACAACGAAGGAATAATCGATTTCGACGAGCTCCGCTGAAAGTGCATTAAGAGATAATTCGGAATCAACTTTCTAATAATTTATTATTGAATCTAGCATATTATGATACCTTCTGCCTCTTGACTTGCTTGATATCTTCTTACCATCGTATAAAAAAAAATTCTTGCAGCAGATGATCAACAAAGGATGGCAATGGTGCTTTATATATAAGTAAAAATTGTCTAACTTCAAAAGATTTATTACATTACATACACGTTACATCCGTACTGACGTCTCGGACAGGGGTATTTGAGCGATCATTATTAGAGTCCAGGGAGTCCGAGTCGATTAAAATCCGTCAAACAAATGATTCTGAATTAGCGTTACGTCAATCGTGCGAAACGTCCATGTATAGGAGAGAGAAAGGAAAAAAAACAATTCGACTTTTACTGCGACTCATATGCCGGACACACGGTGTCACATCGATTCCTCTCCGTCGGAGCGTGCATCCCTGTGGTCGCCTCGAGGAGCGAATTCGGGAGGAATTCGCAAGAGATTGGTGGCGTGTCGCTCACCGGAACATCGTATCGACGAGGAAAATCAGGACGAGAAGGACGAGTCTCCTATTTACATCGCCGGTGCCACCGTGCTGCATCGCAGCGGGATGCTCCCCTGGAAAAGAGAATTACACCGGACTAAGGTGTCGCTTTTGTGTCGCTCCTCCGGATCTTTACACGTCCCGATCTCGTCAATCCTTCTCGGATGCTCGCTAACGAACATTAAATTTATTAACGGCCCGTCGCAAAGCAGCAGCACGGAGAAAACGAAGGGTATCCATGTACGCGCGAAGGGATCCTCGAGGATTTAAGGATCGTCAGCCGTCTCGTCTCGAGAGAGGAGAGACGAGAAAAATTGTTTGCGGATCAGTCATCTCTCTCGTTACCAAATATCGAAATTGTCGTCGGATAATTTGTTTACTCTATTATAATGTATGGCATTATTTATTGCCGCAACAAACGAGCGAGTATACTATTATTGAATGTCTGCATATATAATTGAAAATTGCGCCTTGTTTCGTCGCGACATTAAACAGTCGTTGCAAAGATAATTAATATTTTTATATACAAACCGCGTTATTTATACCAAATAAATTAATGTAATGAATAGATAGAGAGAGGGACAGAGAGAAAGCACGAGAAATCTGGGAGATTGCGAGTGCGAATTAAAACAAATGTATGTCCTTATCGCGAAGCGCGCTCGGGGAGTAATTTCGCAATGTAGTACATTACGCTTTTCCCTCCCTTCGCTCGCTCGATCGCGAAGCGGTGAATTTCGAAATGAGCCGTCGCAATCCCCCCCTCCCTTGCCCTCCCCCGTTGCAACCCCCTCCTTTCACTACCGATATTGCTACCGGTATTTTGCTCACCGTTTAGCACGTGCACCATGACGCTCGCCGGGGTGACTTTGCTCGAAGCGCATGTATAATTACCGCTATCGTTAAGTTGAGCACGCGTTATTAGGAGCTTGCTGGTGGTACCACGCTTACCCTTCTCCGTCTCCAGCGATACGCCACCCCTGTCGAACGTAACATGTAAGAGCGTTACTTCCGTGAACTGACTTGCGAAAGTTTCCAAAATTCACGTGTGCGTGCGTGTGTGTGTGTGTGTGACGTGGTGTGTGTACGTGGCTTATTTCGCGTTCATCTCGGCGCCTGATGCGAGATCGCGTCATCTCGTTTCGCCAATCCGGCGTCAATTCAATTTTCCGATCGACCGCGTTAAAATTCATTCGCGATATCCGCGATATCGGTGGTGACAACGACTCTTGAGGAGAATAGAATCATTCGTGCAAAACTGTCGAAAACCAATGATTTTTCGACGTCACACAGCTTTGCGTGCGCGCAGGAACAATTTCTATGCCGGCGGGAGACTACACCGATTAGATTCGATTGTTCGTTTCACCGCGTTATATTAGTGCCGTTCGAGCGACGATTCCATCAGCTAATTGTGTATTTCACAAAGGTATATAATCACCGACCGCTTTCGTACCTTGGACCGTCGAAATCGATTACCGCACCGGCGTGGTACCAGGTCACGTTGCTTGGAGGCAGATCCTGCAGTTCTATGATGCAGGTTAAGCTGATTGTGCTACCCTTCCTGATGTACAACTCCTGGGAACCCGTGATCCTCGCCTGTATATCTGATATAGAAACAGCAATAACGACGAGAAAGAGAGAAGAATGAAAAATCGAAGCAGAGCGCGTCGTTCACGCTCTCACGATTGGCTTTATTACACTCGAGAAACGACGCGCGATATCATATTACTATCCGCATCGGATTCTACCTTGGAAAATGGATTCTACTTCATTTCGAAAAGCTCAGCGAATCGTCGTTGTCGTCGTCGTCGACGCGAGAGACGGAACGTGATCGTCGTAGAATAGGACGGTCAGAAAGGAGGGATAGAAGGGGAGAAGTTAAAACAATTGGTTCCTACCGGCCGCGAAAGACGCCCGGGGAGATCTTTAAGCGCGATTTATGGGGCTCGCGGAAGGCGCGCGCCTCGCCTCTCGCAGGGAAACTCACCCAAAACCTTCAGTGCCACGGCTCTATATATCTTCGGTTCTGTATTAACCTGACACTCGTAAATGCCGGCGTCCCGCGGTTGCACGTAATCTATTCGCAGATTCCAGTCGTCGGTCTCCGGATTGCCGACTACCGTAAATCTCGCGTCGCTCGTGTAAGTCACCGACATGGACGTCAGGATGTGTAGGTCCCTTTTTCGGATCCAAGACACCTGGGTCACACACACACGCGCGAGGTGCCACGAATGAGGCGCAGGTAATTGCAGTTTGCCCTCAACCCCTTCGCTGCTGCTGCTGCTATTACTACTACTACTGCTACTGCTGCTGCTGCTGCTGCTGCTGCTACTACTGATTCAACCCGTCCACGCGCTCGTTCCTCACCTCGCATTATAATGAAGTTTTCGATCTTGTCGAGACCCGAGGGAATTTAGAGATACAAAGACGTAATTAACAAGTCCGAAAGGAAAATTTGCATTACTTTCCAAACATTTTCAAACGTTAGAAAAATGGAGAGTTCTAGAGTCGGGAAATTGTGGACTCAGAGGGTAGCGAACGCTCTCCTCCCTTTATGTCTGCATAGTTGTCGTAACGGCGATTCATTTTTAACGGAGGCGCCCCGAGCGATAAGAATATCGATTTTGACTTTTTGGCACCGGCTCCATGAATAAGAAAATGCTGATGCTTTCAATTTTTTTCCAGGCGTACCCTCTCCATCCCTTTTCCCCCGCAGAAAAAATTACGACGGATTATGACATCGTCGCACAAAGAACTCCCGTTTTTGAGACTTTATCAAATCTAAATGAGCACTCTAATGAACACGCTACGCTTGACTTGCCAGCAGCGAAGGGGTTGCGCGGGCACATTAAGTTATCGCAAACACGCGAGCTTCGAGAGATCGATGAGATCGAGCGAGGCTCGGCGACGCTCAATAAGACTCACAGTTCTGTTTCCTAGGTTTTTAACACGACATAACAGGACAGCGGCCTGCCCTATGGCCACCGTTAATTTTTGCGGCGTGTCTTTGAAAAAATGGGTCTTCTTTGTGCCGCGCTGCGACTTCTCCCCTTTACCGAACGTGTCGTTGTTGAGATGAAAGAACGCTGAAATAGACATAAACTACATGTTGACATTCTATTATATTTCTTTCTCAGTTGACGTTCTTTCGCCAGAAAGAATTACAGACCGCGGTTTAAAAAATAAATCCGCGAGGTCTCCGAAAATATTTGAATGTTTTCAATACGGAATATTTATGTGTGAATTGTTTATTTTACACAAGCTTGCATTCGTAGTCAAAAATTATTTTTAAAAATACGGTTAAAATAATATTATATAACGTACATTATATTATATAATTAAATTTCACAACACATTATACTATTCTTATAATAAAATGCTAAAATTATATCAGAAAAATCAGAATTGCAAAAATTTAAATAAATACCATAATCTTTGTTTTTTAATCATGATCCTTCGTTTAAATATCATCTTATAAAAGAGAGTTTTTAATTATTCTCCATTTTCCAGGCACTTCTTTTCGTTAAAGGCGAAGATCCTTTAATCGCTTTGTTAATTAATTTCTTTTCTAGCTCGAAAAAAGTTTATTAACATGTGTATTAACTGTCGAGGATAAAAGTATTAATACTAGTTCTTATTAACTCTCGAAATAATTTTCAATTATACAATTATACAATTAACACTAATTGTAACTAATTAATCTCCTATTTTTGTCTGTACTGCGGAACGTAAAGATGGAAACAATTATAAAATATAAAATTACACAATCATCAATTATAATAATTATACAAATTAAATAATTAACGAATTCCAGTTCGTTCATGCGAAATTTCTCTCTAGTTACAATCGAATTAAAAAATGAATATAAAAATTCCACCGCACTTGATTAAAAAAGTTGGCATAAAAAAACTGAACTCGAATTTTTATTAAATTTAACTAGTTATAAGTTTCATCTTTAACTTTTGCGAACGATACGTCGAAATATTTCGTTCTTCAATACATTACGACCGGCATATTTCGATTTTATCCTCTTCGCCCGACAGCGAGATGAATTCGATAATAAAAATGATTTACGCCACTCTCTCGTGCGCCGGTGCTTCGCGCGACCGAAATTACTTCGGGTGCAACTGAAATTACGTGGCGCAGAGCAGAGCCGCGGATACAAAAGGGTGTCGGGTCCGGAAGAGCGTTCTCCGGAGATGTGGAAAGGGACGAGGAGGAAGCACGGGACATTTACCGATGCCGCGTTCGCTGTGAAGTGGTTCCGCGTGTAACAGGTATCCGATTCCCAGGAGCAGCAGGGCCATGCCGTGGAACGGGGCCATCTTTCACTTCGCGCACATCTCTCGATCTAATTCACGCGCCGCTCCGCGCCCGACAGCGACCTGCCCACTACCATCCGATCCGAACGATCGCTCTCTGTTCGCGGCCCTTCGTGAAGCACCCACAAAATCACGTCGATCGTTACCGGCATAATGCCGTGACTGTCGCTCGTTTCGGCGTGCCCGTCCTCTCGCTCTTCACGTTATCGCCGATAACCGCGAGATCCGTCGTTCTCGCGGTACCGGAAAATCGTCCCGAGCATAATCAGCCGGTTTCTCGCGTTTTTTTTTTCAACAAAATCAGAAAATTATTAGAAATTATCGTTGTTAAAAGTTATATAGGAAAAAAATCACGCAGCGATGTTTGGAAATCGTTTAATTCGATAACGGTATCGCTAACGATAACGCTCGTCCTTTCGATCTCCACGCGACTCAACCGCGATCGCACGGAGCGTCGAAGCGGCCGGGGGCGGTGCGACACGGTTGCGGGCCGAGCACTGAATTTCGCTCCTCGCGGAGGATGGGAAAAAGCTCGGAAATCCTGGCACGGTGGCGCCGTGTGCCCGTTCTATCGGGACACGTGCGATTGCGCCGAGAGGTCCTCGGCATCGGATGCGATCTCTCCCTTAACCGGCGGGACGTATTTATCCCGGCGACCGCGCGCGCGAATCCCGCGACAACGCGGCCGTACGTTATCACGATTTACCGGAACGATCGACGTACGTACACACATCTCACCCCCGTGGGCGCGGAGCTTCTATCCGACCCATCTTTTCGATCCGTTCGCGCAAAGCGCTCGCGGATCAAGCGATTTATGGCGTATTCGCTATTTTTCTAAGGCAATCTCTTCCTGCGCATAAATATGAAAATAAAGGAACGGACGTGTACACACACAGGAAAGCTCCTTTTTCTTGTATATTAAACAATATATTACGATAGAATCTTTCAACAACGTAACAATATTCTCAAAAAATATACAATATGAAATATTCTTAATACAGGATGACTCTTAGCACAAGATCCGCTTACGTATTACCAACCCTTTGTGTTTTCTTCAACGCGCACTTGCGTCCCCGATGCTTATCCTCACGATAATATTAAATGCTTATTAAAATCCACAAGTTGGCAAGATAGTTCTCCAGGTACAACAATACAAGCACCGCCGTGTTATTTCCTGTTATTATACTCTATTCCTAATTTCCCTTTTGAGGCCCTTTCACGATAATGCATGCCATTCTTTATTCCTAACATTCCGCATGTTATCATTTTTCAGATAATTACCCTTTTCATTTAAACAAATACATATTTGTTTAAACCTACACAAAAACGCATTTTCTATTCACATTAATATATTTGATTATTAATATACCTGATCTAATTGTGATTTCTGCTATAATTATTGTTTTTTTATTTAAGATTTATTTCTTATATTTAAAATTTTATATCATTTATCAAAATCTATTTAAATTGTAGAGAGAAAAACTAGGAAGAGGCTATTGAATGTTCCGTTGGAACGGTCATGGTTTTCATTATTATGCGTAACCAAATAATTGCTTTTTTTTTTACACTAGTTATACGTATACAAGTACAAAAGTAACTCGAATTAAAAATTGATGATTATGCAAAATCAATAATCCTTTCATCTAATTCTAATATTAGATACATATATTACGTTATATATACATATATAGAGATATATAAAATGTATAATCATCCCTATTATCATATTTAAAAAATATATAAAATTCTATAATAATAGTATAATAGATATTCCATGATTTAAATATATCAACAATCTTTCTTTTGCTTATTTGAGCATATTTGAGCCTTTTGGAACGTTGTACTCTGTTCTATATGATTTATAATCACAGCAGAATAAATCTTCATCCTGTCGATAAATTCGTGCAATACTGTCTACACTTTATCTAATTTAAAGTCACCCTTTGTACCACCCGTTTTCGACACCAATTCTATACCACATATTTGCATTGTGCCAGGACTGGCTGCGTATTTGCACATATCATAGATCGTCAGAGCCGCTATACTCACAGCGGTTAAAGCTTCCATTTCAACGCCGGTCTTGCCGGTACATCTGACCTCCGATGTGATTTCGACTCTATGCGATTCCTCGTTTAATCTTAAGCGCACGTTTACATAAGACAAGGCGAGCGGATGACATAGGGGTATGAGATCAGAGGTACGTTTCGCTGCTATAATACCGGCCAATTGGGCCACCGACAACACATCGCCCTTCTTTACGTTGTTTTCCGCGATCAAATTACCAATAATAGGACCTACTTTTACGAATCCTCTTGCTACCGCTACGCGTTTACTATCGTTTTTCGATCCGACATCCACCATACTTGCTTTACCAGTCTCGTCTATGTGCGATAATGACGAATACATTCTAATAGTTGCGTTACTTTTAAAATACTCAGAAATATACGGGAATTTGTACTGCATCGACGTGATGTTACTCATTTCGGAAGAAAGTTTTCCCTTACGATTTGCTGCAACGTAAATACGTTATAAAATTAATTTTAAGAAGTATTAATACTACGTTAACGTAAGAATATGCGAAATGTCTGTGCGCGTCTCGACAAAGCCGAACGTATTTTAATACAGTTGGTTAATTATCATAACCCGTATCAGTTAACCCCCGATCAGAATCATTGGCCTATTTTCCATGTGAGTAAGATTGACCATTCCTGAAACACACGTGTCGCAGCAAAGATATAAAAACTTGATCGGTTTGTCGATACTGCTACAGTTTATGCCAAATAAACAGGAGATAACAGGGAAAAAAAACTCGAAAGAGAGAAGAGAGCAAAAAGATCTTTAAATAATTAAAAATATTTTCTTATCAAGATCTTTTAATAAAAAGAGTTAAATTTCATTATGAAATACCGCGGATTTTTTCCGCCTTATCGATAACATGTACAGCATACCTGCGTGTTGCTTCTTTTTTCGCGATACCGCTCCTTTTATCAAATTCTTAAGCGTATCTTCCGAGGCTCCACTTCGCAAAGCGTCTCGAAGTGAGACTTCGCCCTTTCCTTCCAATAGGCACACCTTCAAATTTCCGTCCGCCGTAACTCTTAAGCGATTACATGAATCGCAGAAGTGTTGACTCATAGATGTAATGAATCCAACCTGCCCTACGAATCCTGGTACATGGTAGGCCTGCCGAGAAAAGATTATGTACAATACAATCTCAAATAATTGCCATGTAACGTATTAGGAGAAAAACAAACCTTCGACGTGTTGTTCGGTTCATTTGGCAGCGCTTGGAAATCGGGATATTTCTCTCGAATTATTGCTTTCATCTCGTTGAAAGAAACCATCTTATTTTCTTTCCATTCGTTTCCTTGGAACGGCATGTATTCTATGAAACGTACATCGACAGGTCGATCTCTCGTGAAATCAATGAAGTCAATTATCTCATCGTCGTTGTGGCCTCGCATCATCACGCAGTTGATCTAATCACAAAAAAAATAGTTACACAAGGCACCGCTAGTATAACAATTTATATTTAAAATTTATACAATTTTTTATCAAATTACCTTTACGGGATTGTAGCCAAGCTGAACAGCGAGATCTATGGAAGCCATGACTCTTGCCCAGCCCTTTCTGCGAGTAAACAATTCAAAGCGCTCCTCTTTGAGAGTATCCAGCGATATATTGAGCGCGTCCAATCCCGCTCTCTGAAGAGCTGGCAACTGACGTGTCAGAGTCAGCCCGTTGGTTGTAATCGCAACCTGCTTCAGATCTCTCAGTTGCTTCAGTTGTCCTAAAACGCAAAATTATGTACGAATAAATTTTGAAAATTGAATCAGCCCTCACAATGTTAAATTAATTAACTACAGCTTATTGGAAAAATGAACTTTACCGACGATGTCAATGAGATCTTTACGAACTGTGGGTTCGCCGCCAGTCAACCGTATTTTGCGCACTCCTTCCTTGACAAAAAGATCGGCTATTTGTATTATCTCATCCGTTGTCAGAATACCTTCCTTCTTGGTTAATTTCACGCCCTCAGCAGGCATGCAATACGTACCTGCAATAATAAAAAACATAATATTTTATTACAACAAGCCGACAAATTCAAACAAGAGTAGCGCTCCCGTGCAATATTTTATACGATTTAAAAAAAGACTCACAGCGAAGATTGCAACGCTCTGTGAGGGAAATCCTAAGATACGTGTGCTCGCGCCCGAATGTATCTGTGAGTATCCCACGCTCATCCTCCCGCAACTGCGCTCTGAGTCGCTGCAACTGTAAATATAAACGAGGATTGTCTTCGTTAAATCGCCCCGATAACACAAAAATGTTAAATCTTAAAATAGACTACACTCTGACAGATGCAACGCGACACTTACCCGAGACGGTGTCTTCGCGACTGCAGCAGCCTCCGTTGATGCTCTCGCGACACCGCGAAGCTGCCTGACGAGATTGCACCTCCGAAACATTTGTACGATCAACAGACTCCGGGGAAAATAAGAACGAAACGGAGAGAAAGATAGAAACGTTATGCCACTCACACTGGTCGACGTTATATATACTGATTGACTTATATATTCACGTTCCCTTTTTTTTTTACATTATTTACGCATTCTTGGAACGAAAAAAGTTATATAATTGACAGTTTATATTCGATGACAATGCTTTTCTATCCTTATCTGGGTGCGCTGTCAGTCGACTTTATCTGAACGGTCCGACACGTCGAACGCATCGTGCGCAACAACTCGGGATACCCGGTCATTCTTTGCTCTCCTTTTCCCGCATCAACTTCATCGTCAGCCACTTATCAGTCACCCGTCGCGTGCTGATCATCTCATTTGCAATACGTAAACGTAACAGCTGTTACGAAACAGCTGTTCGAATGTGTGCGCTGTCTCGTTGCGGTTAAAGCGAGAAACAACTGCGGGGATTGAGTTTAAATGGTCGATAACAGAGAAAATTGCATGCAGTTATCCATTAATTAAGAAAAACACGCTTTTCTGATGTCGATAAACAACAATTGAACAATTTCTGTTTTACAGTACGATAACAGGAGAGATCGCGATTGCCGACCTTCGAAAATCAAAATAAGCTGACAACGAGAACAAAGGTTAGAAAGAGAAGAATCGATGAAAAACTTTTAAATTTGATACTTTGCGCTGCAAAAAAAGAAGGAGAAAAGAAGAAGAAATGTCTCTCTTTCCTGCTTATTCAAGTGATAAAACTGAATCGACAAGTTGCGGCGATACAGGTGATTATTTCAAACTTTGGCCAATGTTTACATTTTGTGAAGACCATTAAATGAAAGATATATTAATTCGTTGTTTCCTACTTCGAAATTAATCTGTTCGATATTCTTGTTGTATTCTTATTGTACGCTTTAATTTCAGACAATGTTTCCACCAAGTGGTTGTCAAACTCGAGTTTTCAAATACAAATTCCGATCAAAAAGGAACCTCCTGACTTGTATTCTTCGTCAGACGAGTCTTTACATGAATCGCTTAATGCAGAAAAACAAGTTGAAACAATCCCTCGGGATACAAAGGTAGAAGCGAGACAGAAAACCGAGAAAGGACAAAAAGCTGAAAGGAAGAGACATACGCACGACAGTAAACGACACAAGCCGGGTTACGAGGTGAATGTCGATAATGTGTACTTTGAAGATAGACGTAGAGATAAAGGGAACAATAACATTAATACGTTTTGCCCCAGAGCGAGGCCATACTACGATATTAGTGAAAAATCTCTCGGTTACGTTAAACGCAAACAGCCAAAAAAAGATCCGTTTCACAGATATTATATAAAAAATATAGACTCTGCAGAAGAAGCGAAGAAAAAGGATACAGTTATCAAGAAGACGAATGAAAAAGAGACGAAACAAGACGACGAAACGAATGAAAGCACATCTTCTTGGTGCAAGAACTTGGAGGAGGAGCAAAAATGCAAAACTCGAGAATTTAATAAACAACTAACAGAAAATCCACATAATGTTGAACTTTGGCTGCAATACATCAACTTTCAGGTATTTGATAAAATATTCGTCGCACATTTTGGTTACTGATAAATATTGCTACATTTTTGTTATAACAAAGTGTTGCACTAAAAATATTTCAATATAAATTACAGGACACTCTGGCTTATTATCAAAGACATCAGTTGGCTAAGGATCTGCATCGTTCTACAGTATTGAAAAAATTATCAATCGTCGAGAAAGCACTCGAGAAAAATGCGGATTCCAAGGAATTATTGAAATTAAAGCTACGTTTTATGACAGAGTTGACGCCGTCTGACGAACTGTCGAACCAATTGGAGGCATTAGTTAATAAAGATTCGGGGAATATTGTGTTATGGCAGCACTTCATTATGGTCACACAAGGTTCAGTAGCGATGTGTACTGTGCCACGAGTGTTGGATTTGTACTCAAAATGCTTCAGTGTTTTAAGACAGCGTGCGAGAACAAATCCTTCTGTCTACGATGCACAGCTGCTATGTAAGTGAATGTCTGACTGGTACTTCAATTTTATTATATATTTCTTTTGTATCTAATTAATTCGATTATCTTTCATTTAGATATGCTGTATCAGTGCTTGACTTTCCTAAGGCATACAGGATTATGGGAACAAATGTGGGAGACAATACGTTTAAATCTGAATTTAAATTTGAATTTAAACAAAACCAGTTTATCTTTGCGAGGGTCTATAGATGAAAAAAAATTAAGTAAGTTTATGTTGCATATGAATTACAGTAGGACTTCTATTAAGCACAGATTATTCAAATTGCAGGAGAAATGTTTCGAGTTATTTATGCCAAATCATTGACATTACGTAATAAATTAATAGTAATTATTGAGGAAGTAAATGTAACAAAAAATATTATATATATTACATATATAATAGGTATAAAATGTCTAATTAATTTTCCAAAAAGAGCTTAATAGAAGTCTTGTGATACCACGGTAATATGCTATTGACATAGCTGATTATAACATTAACTTTTAGTTGGTATGGAAGAAATGATATTGATGTCGCGATTACCACTAAATCAACTATGGCAAAGAACGGAATCATTGAGAGAAAATTGTCATTGGATTAGCGTTAGTAGAGACGAGTTAGAATTGGTTGGAGATTCCAGAAGGTTTATTTTGCCAGAAGACGTAGCAGACTTTGTACATCCAATTCTTTCTCGTAATTCCAACTTTCAAATGGCTGTCTATTCTCTTTTGTGCCTGAAAGTACCACTTTTACCTTGTCGAGATTGTTACATGAAAGTAAGTAAAATTATTTCATTCAGTGACATAAAGTTATAGAGAATTACAAATACGGATTCTATAAAAAGAAATATTTTACATTTTTATAGGAATTATTATTGAAAAACTTTAATTGGGGAGTAGAATCTTTAGAAGTGTTGCTCCCATTCACGTATCCTATGGTAGGCGAAATGGCTGGTCATGACCAAAGGAAAGAATTACTGAAGGATGTTCTCGAGGGACGTTTAACGTCAGGTCCTCAATATCTCAAATTTCATCCGGCGCAGGAACCATACCTAGATTTTGTACGCAAAATATTTCATACAATCGCGGAAAGTCTGCCTTTGCTGCAACGGACAAGTATATATGTCTGGTGGTTGCGACTGGAAAGATTACTGGTCTCTCTCAGCAAAGACGAACCTTTAAAACACGATAATAAGTAAGATTCATGTTCTTTATCTATAAATTCTAATGGTTTTAATTCTGCATACGAAATTAATCAAGTTTTTGTATTGCAGAGGAAAGAAATTGAGGGCAACATTGAAGGAATTTTTGAAGAAGGATGAAAATAGAAATAACTTGTACTTCTATAAAGAATATGCCCTAATAGAATTAGAAATGGGCAGATTCAGCAACTGCATGAACATTCTTGAGACTGCCATTCAGTCCCAAGGGACATGCCCGTCTGCGATTACCAACATGTGTGAAAGGGCGGCGCTTTTTAACGTGTATAGGACATTTATCGAGACTCTGCTCGATATTAGAACGTACAACGAGTCGCATAGATCGTGGATACTAAAAGCCTTTGGTCAAATGATACCTGGCAAAAACGAAAATCAAGAAACACTGGTTGAAGCGTACTTACATTCGTGCGTGCAAGACTTTCTGCAAGTTCCACCCGGTGAAAAAGAAAAAGATACCTTGTTTCTATCGAATTTAGAATGCGATTCGATCGTATGTTACGCATACTTTCTGTATATTAAAGACGGTGATATTCAAAATGTTATCGACATATTGAGGAGCTGCATCGATCATTCTAAGGAGTGTCCTTATTTACAGGTACTAATTTAATTTCCTGTGAACGATTAAAAATTGTTATTAATAGATAAATTAAAACAATTGTTTACAAAATCATTTTTAAATCATTGCAGGAAATGTTGTATGAAAGCCAAATCGCAATTCTGCAATTACATCATGAACGGACTCAGGGTATGCAGCCTGTGTTAAAAGAAACCCTCAGTAGAATTTTAAATATATATCCGAATAACTTTTACGCTTTATCTGTATTCGCTGGCATAGAGGTAAAGAGCATATTTTGCAATTATATTGCATTAATACTATATTTATAAATTAAAATAATTATTATTTTAGAGTGAATTGCCGACTTGGAGATTCAATAGTAGAAGCACTGAGATTGAATTGTGGCGAGCGATGGCGATGTGCCTGGCTGCTCGTAGACGTATTAGTCTCCTAATGAAACTTGATCATTCCGATGCAGTGAATGCTGCACTGAATAAGCTATTATCATTTCATCTAACACTCTCTAGGTATAATAATTAAATTTTTATAAGATGCCAAACTTATAAATGAATAAATACTATTGTGTGTATTATACTACATAAAATTGTTTTCAGAATACCATCGACACGATGTTGCCCATTGCTATGGAGACTTTATATGCTTCTTCTGCGCGAGCATAATTTATGCGAGAAAAAAGGGGAAGAGATTTATCACGAGAGCGTCACGCAATGTCCATGGGCACGAAGCGTTTACATAGATGCAGCTGAAGTAGCGCCTCAACTTCTCACGCAGATTCAAGATCTGATACGCGAGAAAGAATTAAGAATGCACGTCACACCTGAGGAATTAGATATTCTTCGTGGATAATGTAATTTTGTGACTGATAAGAAAAACATATAAAAAATTGTTTAACGATGTTATACCTTAATTTATATTTCAATTTCTAATTTGGTAAGTTAATATAGAAGTATATCTAAATAATGTAAATTTATATATAACACACAGATTAAAAATACCTGAAAATGAAAAGTAAATAAGCCTTTATTTATTTTGCAACGTAAAATAAGAAATGTAATAAAATATAAAGCAATTTGATTTCGTCTTTATATTATTCAAAATCAATTATTTTGAATATATTACATATATTAAATATATATTATGTATATTTATATTGTATATTAATTATTTATTACATTAAACCTATATTTTACTTGTTAAGTGCGAAATATTGTATTGAAAATATGCACGATAGTGATAATACTAGTAATAAAAAATATTCACATCTGAAAGTCTTTGGTTAGATCAGTGATATGGTTATGGTAAGGAAAATTGTGATAGTATTTGTCAGAACGAATTATATAAACAAATTGAAAAATGAAAGATCGTGTTGTTTTGAATCAAGTGTACTGTTTTCCAACCGAGATAATAAAAAATAACATTTTGCAAACGTGCACGTTTTCAATAATAGAACTAACCTCAAATTGATAATATAAATGCATTAAATATCGTCAAGTTAATCAATTAACAATAAAAATAGAGATAATATCTTTCTATGAATTGTTCTAAATAAACAGTATATATGTGTTGAAAAATAATTACTTCTTAAAATATCATTAAATTCTTATGTCACACTTGTATATTATTGTTATTATATGTATATATAATGTATATATTTTTTTCTGTGTTGCAGTGTTATGAAAATCTTATTATAAATATCACATATTTTCCAAAAAATGGATTTAAAAGCTGTAGTCGTTTCTGGAGAAGCTCCAGAGTCTGATGATGATGCGTCGAACATTGTCACTGTATGTATATATCACAATATGTATTATATTTTATATTGTTTTGAATTTAATACAGTTAACATAGAAAAGTATTGTTTACAAATTTTACTACACATAGGGCCTAGGAATTCCTACTATGCGAACCCCGTCAACTTATTGTGGTACCATTATCTCAGGCGAAGCACCAGAATCTGATGATGGTAAATTTCGTTGATATTGACTCTTCTTTATATAAGGATTTAATTAAAATTTAATTAAAAAATTAAAGGATTCAATTTTTATTTGCAGATCTAACAAGTTTGAGTAGTGTTAGCGGAGCGATAGATGCCATGGCATGTCCTCCTTACATGGATCTTAAGATACCAAAATCTAAAAAGAGTTCGATCAAGTACAATAGTTTACTTCACAAAAAATTATGTAAGTGATTTTAAGTCACATTTATAATCATATTTCCTAATCCTTTATATTTATTTTCTTATTGGCCACAAAAGTATCAAGTATTGCAAGCCATTGCATTATATGTTTAATAAGATGTTCACAGAACACGACAACTTTTACTTTTGTTAACATTCGTTTATTAATATTACAGCAGTACAATGTGCGTAACTATAGCTAAACAATATTTATACGAGACTGTTTATGTGTGGAATATCTATAACTTATTTTCCAGTGATTTGTATCTCTTAACTCAATTTTACTTCGAATTACTGCACAGATATATTTGCATAATTACATTATATATATATATATATATATATGTTATACTGTACAAAGAATTTTCTTATAAGTTCTTATAAAACAGCGTTTATGAAAGACATTAAATTATATCCTTAAAACATAAAATCGATATATGTATTTATATATATTATATACGTATCACTTATTAATTTTGAACATCATTTAAATTGACATATGTTAAACAGACGAATGCAATGAAACCTTGGATAGAGACGTTCTGCAAATGACCGAGGGCGCAATCACAACCAGCGTACAGGAATTGTCTGCTGTTAATCGACAGTTGCTGAGAAGTGAATTGGTGTTACAAGAGGCTGTGTGCCAATTGCGCAATGCGACCGGTCGGGTGAAGGACGCCTCCGACGCTCTACATCAACTCATAGACGACAACTTCTTGCATTCCGTTAAAACTTAACTTTTCTCTGTTAAACTTAATTATTAAAAGTGCGTCTCTATTCTTAAGATATACATGTAGCAATGAGTAACAGGTATGTGCTTAGTATATAATGCCATCCTCGTGAATACCGCGCATTGAATGCCGGTGTTAAAAAGAAATGCGTTTTCCTCTTTGAGATCGGGGACATTGTTGAGCATTAATCGATCTTCCCTTTAACTGGCAGTACTATTTAATAATGCGTCCTTCTTATACTTTCCAACGCGTCGTCTCCTTCGAGAATAGTATATCAATCACATCAATTCATTATAAACTAATACCCTAAGATCGATCTGCGAAACTAAATATATTGTGCCTGATATATTTAACAATACATTTGATCATACAATCAGATAGCAAGTAGTTCGATACCGGTTGTTGTTTCGCCGGCCTTTTACACCGCCGTAAATTTCACTCGGCGGTGGTATTCTAATACAAATATATGTAATGCGATTATAATGCGCAAGAGGCATGTGATAATTATATTACGAGATATACAATATATATATACATATATATGTATATTAAAGAACGTCACGATATTGATACTGGGCATTTCTGCGGAGAATAGACATACACTTTCGTTACAGTTTTAGAAAATGGATCGTGTGTATCGTACTTTGATTTTCGTGACTTTCCAGGAACACATAAATGTGTGATACATTGCTCGTTTAAATTGTTGATTATGTGATCATAAAATCGGAGTAATATTTAGTACCTAGTTACGTGTATGCATAGTCTTGTCAGAAACCCCTATGTTCTTTCTTTGCAGCAGGTTTCCACGGTTTTTTTTTTCCTCTTCTTTTTATCAAATAGCACAATTTTGTTTGGTATCAAAGGGCTGATATCGACTTTTTTTCGTCGCTATTACATTGCTAATGTTAGTGTACAATGAATTGGTGATCTCAATGGGGGGGGGGGGGTGGTTTTCGTTTTCTCTATAAATTCAGTCTTAAATATTCCATCGATCTTCGTTGAACCAAATCTCGGTATGACGTATCTAAGTACAAAAATCTCATAAACAAAACACGTTTCGCTAAGACTTGATATGGCGTAATATCGCGACAGAATACCCACTCGGAAATGTTACTCACGCGGCTTCCCCTCTTATGCATTATTCAGACAAATTAGCAGCTAAATTGCGCATTTATATTTCTGCCGATACAGGTGTCTCTCTTTTACATGGTATTAAAGCAATTCCGTACGCTCACTAAGGATGTAAAGTATTGCCAAAGCATAGTTGTGCCACTGAATCGTGTGTATATAGATTAAAAAAATTCTACAAAAAACTTAGAGCTACTATTTCCTCTAAGATGCGAAACCTATTACTATTATCATTTATTATATTAGTATTATTTAATGTTACGATACTAAATTGTTGGGCGAACGTAAACTACTCGTGTTTCGTGTCTCTGTACAGTGTCTCTGCGTATTCTTCGTACGCGAGAGATAACGTATGGGCCTCCTCACCAATACAGCTGTATTCAGCTTGAGCGACTAACGCTCGTAGTTCTCTTAGTTACTCCAGTTTTTGTAAACAGCGATGGGCTCAATTCCAGAACAGGATCAGAGTTTGTTGCAGTTGGCGACCTTTATAGAATATGCGACGTCGTATTCTATACATATTAGCCAATGTGAGGGCGCCCACCCCCCACATGGCCTACGCTCGCTCCATCTCACCACCGCTCGCGTACATCTGGAGGAGGGCCATGGATTCCTGCGCTTGCCGTTTCTCCGCCAGGAATCTACCTGAAGCTTCCTTCAACTGCTCGAGGAAGAGTCTGCAGCAAGATTGGAACAAACAGAGAAATCAATGACGGTATCCTTCAAACAATCACTATCATAAGGGATGATGCATTAATTAATGCAGCAATGTCCAGGAAGTAATAGTAAGTTATCTTAAATAAGAGATGACTTCAAGCTCTGATTAATTTGGTTGGCTGATTTCTTGTTACCGATCGTGTTAATCGGAATTTGATTCAAGTCATTCTGATATCTATCGCTTACCGGTCAGGCACTATGTCGGCTAAACTGTCAGGATCCATATCGCTAAGTAATTCCAAGTCATTTCCTCCCAAGAGCGAGATATGCGACGGGTCGCCGTGCAACGATGAGACCAGGGGCTCAATGGGCGTTCGCCGTCGTCGAATCTTGTCGACTCTTGAACCACCCTCCACGTTATCCACGTCATCTACGACGATGTAACGAGACGGCGTCTTGCTGCTACCCGCAGCGACCCATTTTTGATCACCGTGCAGCACCATCAAGCTCGTGTTCCTTTCTAACGTCGCAAAATATTCCTCGTCGTCCACCTCTGTTCCTGTAACATTTATCGACACGTGAAAGTGCGACCCTTATAAAAGCACAATTATAGTGACTGAATTATCCTTATGGTACGTATTTCGCAACAATTAATTATTTATATTTATATACTCCAAGAGATATCAGAATCAACAATTGCTGTATGAACATTCACACTTACCATCCTGTTCAAGCACAATGGTTAGATCTGCGTCGACGGGCAATGCCAGTCGATTGCGTGCGATGTTGGTCAACTCCTTCAGCGACGAGGCAGTGATGCCCTTTCTTCGCTCCCTGGTGTGATCGACTATCTTGTAAGGATTGCCTATCCCCTGCGTGACAGCGGTTGTTTCTGACATCTTTCTTCTTCACGATCGACGTACGAGAACGGATTTTAGCTCAGCTGATCACTGGCGATTAATTCAGTCCGGTTTCAGTTCGGTATCACGATACTGAGGATTTTTGACACTCAACGGCAAGCGCGATCGTCTAAGTCAAAAAAGATTTATTCTTCCAGAGCGAATTAACTGTTGTTAAGGCCTGATTCTCGTTGCACATTAGTTGGTCCGTGTCTCGGCGGTATGTCGGGGAGATTCGAGTGATCCGCGCGTCCGACGATGACAGGAGGACGAGAAGGAATACGCCCTTAACGCGTGAGAGATGTGACGAACACAACTACTGATTAACACGACGTGTCAACGAATGCTGTTTTTTTTTACTTCTTTTAGCGTCGAAAAGTAAACCCTCTCGACGATGATGCACTAGATTGCGGTCGTATCTCGCCGTCCGATAATTTCTCGGATAAAAAATCGTATCGCTCGGAGGAGAAGTAAACAGGTATGAAAGGGCAGTGCTGAGGATTGCGCTGGATTGACCTGGAGGATCAACGGGGGATTTGAGCGAGACCTCCTTTTTCTCTCCTTCAACAATTCACGCGGATAAAAAAATCAGTGGAAGGCGGAGACAACGGCGATTGTGCGGCGCGATAGAATAAGAGACGGAAAGAGAGAAAGAAACAGAGTGATGTGTGTGTGATGCCTCGAGTGACTGAACTGACCGTGTGTCAACCCAACACTGGGTCAACGGTGCAACTACCCCTTCTATTTATACCCCCTGTAGACTCTCTCGCAGGTATATACGCGCGCGAACGAGAGACACCCCGACACAGCATCTACCCCACCCACTTCTGCCTATCCATCCAACCCTCTGCCGTAGCACCCCTACACGGAAATCAATAACCAACCCCACTCCGGCCGCAGCCGCGCTCATTTTTTATCAGCGCCGACGAGAAAATTTACAAAAATACCCCGGCGCGCACCGTCACCAAAGAGGGCCGATGCAAAATACACGGATTGATGAGATAATTCACGACACGTGTCAATCGATCCACTTCTTTGAAAACCGGAGATTGAAGATAAAAAAACGTATAAAAACGCGATTCTGCGATATTCAGACATGTCCTTCGAATATGCGAAATCTGAACGAAACGTTGCAAATTTTATTTAAAGAAAAAATACAAATAGAAATTAGAGCTTCATTATTTTGTATTATATTTGTACTATTTTAATACAAAATATGTCACGTGAGATAATGACTAAAAATGTAATAAAAAGAATTTTATTCATTTTTTTGTTATTTCAATGATAAGTTACGGTATATTTTGCAGAATGTTTAAACATAAAATTTATTACAATAATATTTAGTATTAAATTTTATATGTACATTGTTATATGTTATATAATTTTTAAATCACTAATCTACATTAATTAAATTCTCATATTTTACAAATTCTTATTTTTTATTGTGACAACACATATTCATTTCATGTGTTATGTATTGCAATATTACAATTGATACAGCAAAAATTGAAATGTGGGCATGCATAATTTAATAGAATATTAATTACTAAGACTGTAAATTCCACTCTAGTAAGTATTTCAATCTACTAGGAGTTTTGAACTTGAGACACAGCACTGTAGTTATATTTAGATCAATGAGACTAGACACTGTTTTAAGTTTAAAGTTAGCTCAGGCATAGCCCAGTTAGGGCTCCTGGTCGGTGCGCTGCACCAATTTATTCGAATGGAGTCAATCACGTTTGACTAGGATTTTGATATAAAATCTGGATCAAGAATGCCGTCACCGAGTGGAAACAAAGAGGCCGACGACAGTCAGACATGGGAATTGGCAGAGAGGTGTCTACTACCCATCGCATTTTCACATGCAATTGCAGTCATCCTAGCAACTATATTGAACACCTTTGGGATCTCACAGACATCTAGTTTTGTACTTTTTCTGTTGTTATTGCTCATATCCATAGGATCCACCTTGTTCTATCATAATCTAAAGGTAAGACGTTGCGTTATGCAACTAATATAATTTTATACAAAATTTTAACACTACATACAAAAATTCTGTGTATGTGTGTGTATGTGTGGAACTTGTTCTGACCTTCAATAAATTAAAATACATATCGCACCCCTATGACAAAATGTATCCTTCTCAACCTTTTATAATGCCATATACGGACATTTGAAAGTTCAAAGGCCCTCTTTTATCGGAATTCTCATGGGATTCACATCAGATCTGATCGCGAAACCTTTGACCTTTTTTTGCATAACGCTACATACATAATACACCTGCTATCATTGCATACCATACTTCCTGCTTTACATTTTCTTCTTTTTCTTACAAAGGACTTTGAGACCATTATCGCTCGATCAAAGACTATAATCAAAAGCGTAATAAAGCTCCTTTACATCAGATCATGATTCAATAAGTTATGAACACTGTTTTCCTAACGGTCTACTTGATGCAACAGGTTACCGCGGCAGGAAAGGCAGTACTAATCACAGGTTGCGATTCGCGAGTCGGATATGCTTTAGCTAAACAGCTGGACGATTTGGTAGTGTATACGTAAAACGTATAGCTCGTGTGACCAATCGAGAATTTAATTTAAAGATAACGTCTATATAATATTTTCAAGGGCTTCACCGTGTTCGCTGGATTCAGCAGTAAAGCCGAGAGTGAAGAGATCATGCAGAAACTGAAAGACCACGCGTCTGGAAGATTGCACGTGCTACAACTGGATGTTACGAGCGAACGTGATATACACTCGACTTTCCTTTACGTCAACGAAAACTTGCCTGACGGAGCTCCTGGTACATCGCTATATCTCTTAAAGTTTTCCGAGATTATCAAGTATCAAGGTGTAATAACGGATAATTCCTACGTCATCGTTGCTACGTTATTTCAGGATTATGGGCACTCGTGCATGCTGCTGCCTGGGTGACTCTCGGGGAATGCGAGTGGGTGCCCCCATCTGTTCTTAAGCGAAGCATAGACATCAACTTTGTTGGCCTGGCGCGTTTAACTCAGGTACTGTAGAACACTTGAAAAATGTCAAAAGGTGAGGGACTTGTGACACGACGCGCAATGTTCTCTTTCTTCTTTCTCTGCGATAGGTGTTTCTCCCTTTGGTCAGGAGGTCAAAAGGCCGAATCGTTCTCGTCAGCAGCCTCTTGGCGCGGATACCGAGTCCCGTCCGAGGCATTTATTGTGCCCTTAAGGTAAATCCCTCTTTGTCGCGCGCGCAGTTGAGCATGACTCGTCTATTTGTACATGTAATCATAAGACTGGAAGGGCATTAATAAGGCTTCAATAGACCAATAGAAGATTATAAATATATCTTAGGCCGCCGTGGAAGCTTGGGGATCGTGCCTAAGGCTGGAGATGCGGAGATGGGGTGTCGACGTTGTGATCGTCGAGACCGGGGAATACGTTTCTGGTAATGCATGGCTGAAGGACAACACCGCGCTGCTCGAGCAAGCCAGAGACATGTGGACTCAACTCGATCCTCAAACTCGCAAGGAATACGGTCAGGAGTTGTTTCAGAAGGAAATGCTGGCTCTAGAGAAGTACACCCAGGGACCAGAGGCCGAATTGACCGCCGTCACGAGAACTCTTATAGATGCTGTGGTAAAGACTTTCCCGATGCGGCGGTACACACCTGTGACGCGCAGTGAAAGAATGCAGGCCTTGTGTAATCATTACCTTCCGAAACCGATCTACGACATATTATATACAAATTGAATATCTTCTGTACGATATTATACTGACGATTAAACGCCCAGAATTACGATTAGGACACATTCTTCGAATAGATGACACTATAAGAATAAGTCTTAGATAAAGCAGTGAAGCAAAAATCTTTTTTAGCAGATTGCGGAATTATTTAAAGCACTGCCTATATAAAACAGCCGCAGAAAGATATGTACAAATTTAATAAAGTAACTTTATCAAATTATAAAATATACTCTTTGTAAATATAAAACTCTACTTTCTAGATTTCCATATAAAAAAACATTTTTAAAATAAATTCTAGTCTATTAAATTCTAATCTGTATAATACACGATACATCTAACGTTTTGTGTCCTTCAACATTTTTAGAATTAGTGTGTCAAGGATCTTTTAATATTTCTTCAAAATAAAAATAAAAAATAAATAATTTAGCGAAGACAAATCTTTAAAAAATAATTTAAGAAATACATATGCAAAGTTGAATTGAAACGTTATATAGCAAAATTAGACAATCAAAAGTCTATCAAATTGACGTGGTAATTTGGATGATACAGTAACCTTTGACATCGTTGTATTAACGGATATTAAAGATTACTGTATTATTCAAATTATATTAATTCTCATTTACATATTTAAATTACATGAATTATGTATTGTATTCCTATCATATCGATTTTCTTTCAAGGTTAATGAATTACATTTAATCGAATAAAAAGATAAAAAATGTGACGTAAATAAAACGACCAATAACTCGAGCAATTTTTTGTAACATTCATAACAATCAACAAAAAAAAGAGTTTATCACCTGCCATTAACGTAAAAATCTCAGCGTTTCTTAAAGAAAAATTCGATGTAATCGAATTGAAATCTTACTTTATTTTCTGTGCAATCACGTTGTCACAATGTATTCAAAATTTTGCTTATACATTTAGAAAAGACGTTTCAAAACAACAATTTCGGGAAACTGCAGAGAATCATAACCTATATGCACGGACATACCTCCGCGTTTTCAGCCACCATCGTCAGTCGCCACTCGCCAGTCTCGCCACTCTCGCGAACAGAGCAGGCAACCTAAATCTAAATGACAGTTTTTCAAAAGTTCCTAGGAATAGAGGAAAATATAAAATTTCGACGCGACCGGCGACACTAACCAATGGGCGCTCAAGATAATAAATCGATAGATTCTCTCTAGGGACTTTAGAAACCGAGTCGTGCGCGTGCAATCGAATGTTTCCTGCCATTGGCTCGCCCGCCAGGCCCTTTTGGAGCCAACTTTGGCTTTCCACTCCACTCACTTCAGAAGGGGAGGGGAGAGGGGATCAGTGTCTACGGTGGATGCAAGTGCGAGGAATACGTGCCGGATACGAAAAGCGCTTCTTCCTTTTCTTCCGCGAGTTCCCGCGAGTTTTCTCAACGAGAATATCAAGATATTCGCGCGTCCTGTTACGAATTATCGGCTCGAGGTTACCCGAAAAAATCACGGTGGCTCATTATTTGCATTGAAGCTCAAAGCGGGTGTGCGTCGTCAATGGTCGCAACGCCCGTCAACCGGTCGAGCGTGCTGTAAAGGGTTTTATTTGCTAACGTACTTCACTTTCGAATATTTCTGAGGTCGGTGAGAACGAGCCTTTGACGTCGACGTCAGGAGCATATCGCGGAGATCTTCGCTTTGTTTTCGCCGTGAAACTACTCCTATTCAAGTGTCGTAATACAAAATGGCATTGCCAGCGAATTACAAGCAAGTCGCGATAGCTACGTCGAACATCGTAGCCTCTAACCGTAAGTACAATTAATTCTTCTGCACTTTTCCTGCAGTTGACGGTCTAACTTTGGAGTATCTAAATTGAATGTATTTTGTTGTGTGCAGAACGTATGAGAGCGTCCGGTGGGAGCTCGAGCAGTTCGACGAATAGTGTAAGTAGGCAAACACTTGGACGATGAAATACGCTCTTTGGAGATTTGCGTTTAATTGGAACGATCTGTTTGTGTTTAGAAAGATACCCAGAGCCCATTTGTACAAACTCCCCACAGTCATCCAGGATTCACACCCCAGAAAGTTGGAAAAAATGCCAATGTACGTATATGTGATTAAATAAAATTAAAAAATAGTTGGGATAGATTATATAAAATAATAATTATAATTTAAACTAGACACAACTAAATTTGAGAGCGCATTCTAGAATTTGTTAGGTACTGAGATCCAGCCGTGATCATAGAAAACGCTCTCAAATTTAATTATATAAAATAGTGTGCCACTCTATGGCTATTCTGATTTTTTTTAAAACGTTTTTTAAAACTTGATTTTATTTGTAACGTATAATAATTTTTGTCATTAGGCTGACTCTCGTATGCCAAAACCACCTAAGCCACCAGAAAAACCTCTTATGCCATACATGAGATACAGCAGGAAGGTATGGGATCAGGTTAAGGCTCAGAATCCCGAGTTAAAACTATGGGAAATTGGTAAGATTATTGGACAAATGTGGAGAGACTTGCCAGAGGAAGATAAGACAGAGTTCATCGAGGAATACGAAGCTGAGAAGGTGCTTAAAGCATTTTATATTTTTATATAATTCTACAATTTTTTCACTTATTTATATGTTTGATTGTTGAATACAGGTGGAATATGAAAAAAGTTTGAAAACTTATCACAATTCACCTGCATATCTGGCTTATATCGCAGCTAAGAACCGTGGAAAGTCTGGTAGGTGTAACAAACATAGTTTTAACACTCATGGAAAACCTAAGGCTAAATCATTTATATTATAATGTCTCTGTACGCAGCATTGTGTGCAGCACAGCAAAGTAATGACGATCGAGAAAGTCATGAACGTTCATCAGGCAGTAGCAAAAGTCAAGCGGCTCAGGATAGAAGGATTGATATTTTACCAGCTGAAGATGAAGATGGTATATAGTTTAATCATTATTATAAATAATTATTATTAAATATGTATTTTCATTACAATAGTAATTTTGTACTCGATTGACAGATCAAGATGATGGATATTCTGTGAAACATGTGGCGTATTCGCGTTATACGCGAAACCATCGGCTTATTAACGAGATTTTCAGCGATACAGTTGTCCCCGATGTTCGCTCTGTAGTTACTACTCAAAGAATGCAGGTTTTACGTCGCCAAGTGCAATCCTTGACTATGCATCAGGTATAATCGATGTGTATTTATATTATAGTAATAAACATATATTTAGTGTTTTATAGCAATCTTATATCGAAATATTATATTTTGAATGTTCCAGAAAAAACTTGAAGCCGAATTGCAACAAATTGAAGAAAAATTTGAGGCCAAGAAACGTAAATTCATAGAAACTAGTGAAATATTTCAAGAAGAATTGAAAAAGGTATAAAAGATTCATTTTAAGAGATAAATAATATTGCAAGAAATATAATTATTCTCTTTTTTAGCATTGCAAACCAGCGGTAGATGAGGAAACTTTTAACAAAATGGTAGAACGACAGTATGAAGCTCTTAGACGAGAAAGACTAAAAGGAACTGAAGAGAATCGTTCAGATGGACCAGCATCTAGCGAATCTACTCCAAATTCCACTCCAACTCCAACTCCTGCATCACTTAATGAGGAGGGCCAACCTGATGTAATAATACAAAATAACATTTACATGTTAGATATTAACACAACTAAAATCTTGTACAAAGAAATATTAACATTGTCTTGTTTGTACAGGTTTCCGATAATGATTCGATCGAGAAAAAATCTAACAATACCGAAAAATCCAATATTGAAATGAACAAGAAAATGTCACCTCCATATATCGAGAGTAAGATCGAAGCACCAGCAGCAGTGCCATCAAATATTAATCACCCGACCAACTCCGGGATGTACTGCAATAACGTCAATCCGATTCAACAACATCCGCATCAGCAACAGACGCAAACACTCCAACATCCGCCGCCACCGCCGCCACCGCCTCAACATCAGCCGGCACCTCTTCAACAACAGCATCAGCCGGCACCTCTTCAACAACAGCATCAGCCGGGACCTCTTCAACAACAGCATCAGCCGACACCTCTTCAACAACAGCATCAGTCGGCACCTCTTCAACAACAGCATCAACCGGCACCTCTTCAACAACATCAGCCGGCACCTCTTCAACAACAGCATCAGCCGGCATCTCTTCAACAACAGCATCAGCCTCCTCCGCAACAACATCAGCCTCTTCCACCGATGCAGCAGCAACATCAACCGCCGCCGCAGCCATCTCAGCAGCATCAGCCGCCACCGCAACAGCATCAACCGCCGCCGCCCCAACAGCATCAAGTTATGTCGCAGCCGCAACCACAACCGTCGCAACCCCAACAACAACAACAACAACAACAGCAGCAGCAGCAGCAGCAGCCGTCGCCGCAACAACAGCAGCAGCAGCAACAACAGCAACAACAACAACCACAACCATCACCGCAGCCGCAACAGCCTCCAGTGATGTCACCTCAACAACCAACCACAACAGCCGCGGCAGCGGCCGCGGTCGCAGCGGTAGTTGCTAGCGCGAACGCAACCGCAAATTCCATTCCTCCGCCGAACATGCCACCGGTGTCCACGTCCGCAGTGCCCATTCAACACAATCCCCACCAGCAAGGGATGCTGCCGAATCACTCAATGCCGCCGCATCAGAGTGCGCAAGGTACTCAGAGCACACAGGTTCTGCCGCCGCAGGGACCGGTGGCGAATCCGCACGCTCCGCAAATGATGCCTCCCAATCAGGCTTACGGCCAGCAGTATCAGTCCGGACCAGGTCCGCAACAGCCGCAAAACGTTCCACTAGCCCCGAGACCGCCGCATCCCACTTACAGCTATTCCCAGCAACAGCCGTATCATCAACCCTATCCGCAATACGCTCATCCGTACTATCACCAGCCGTACTCGCAATACTCACCCCATCCGATGGGTCGACCGCATGGCCACGGTCCACATAGTCCGCACAGCCCGCACTACCATCCGCAATCACCTCATACGGTTCCTCCTGAAAATAATAACGTCGGTGCCAACGTCGCGGGCGGTACGGCGGCCGCCGTGGCTCCCGCACCCGCGCCCGATACCAACAATCCTTCTCCGTACTCCGCACCCCCGGGACACTGTGAGAGCGAACGTCCCGGTCCGCCGGAGAATCAAGAGGGTCAGGTGGATGCTAAAGCAGGTCCCGCTTAAATATTTTTTATTTTACAAACGCTATTCTAGATTTCCGTTTACACGGCATATCTATAGCTATATTTATCTCTATATCCTCGCGCCAGCAGACTCGTTAGGCGTAATTCTTTAATTTATATGATAAAAATATAATGTAGTATGAGAAACTTGATTTTATTACTACTCGTAACAGTGTAGACACAAAAATTGTCCAGAAATTGTTCCACATGAAATGATGGCGAAGTAAAAATGGATAAAAGACATCTGTATGCAAAATGGCTCTTTGATTACATCCTGAATCCACTGTACAGTCAGTCTTACTTCACTGGTTTCATTTGCCAAAGTCCATCGTTCAAGTAATGACAGTTCTCGATGCCTACTCCCTTATTCACTTTGATACTACAAATTAGAAATAAAATATGTAGGATGAAAAATGTATGTTGGGGAAATAAAATATGTAGAATTAAAAGTGTATGCTGAGGAAATTATTTTAACTTACATTTCTTCTGTTGACAATGTTGTGATTCCGACAGCTAACGCATGTTGCTTGCCCTCAGCCATAACAGCCTATCATATCGAGTTAAGGATTTGTATCTCATTGAAAAAATAAAGTAAATGTATCAGAATCTTTATAAGATTGCATTTAAAAGGATACGACAACCGTTTTTTTATCCACAGTCATCATCTTTGCGCCCTTTGACGTTAAACCAGGACACATTATGTTTGCTCCACTAAGAACAAATCTAATGGCACCTTTATCAACTTGTTGCATCGGCAGGAAGAATGGATCTAGAAGAAATGTATGTATTATGATAAAATTGAAATTTTTTTTTCTATTTTTCATTCAATCAGTCAGTGAGGAAACTTACACTTGTGTAGTAATCTTAAAGTAGGCATCCAGGGGCCTTCACGTTGGCGAAAGAATAACAAGTCTCCCGCCGCATTCACTATGATCTCTATGTGATCGTGGCTGACGAAAGAAAGAAAATTGTTAAACGACGAATAAGCTTCGCGACATATGGCGACTCACCATTTCACAATGCGAAAAGCGTCTTTCTTTGGTATTATAACGTCTATGTGGCTCTCCAGATGAGGATACAGCTCCAGGAGCTTCGCACGGATTCCTTTCTGCACGGACGATTTCAATTGCTGAACGCCAGAAACGCTGTCCTTCTCGTCGAATCTAACGTGATTAGTATGAATTTAAGTGACTTTTCGAACAGAAATTAATTAACGAATATTTATGCAATGATCACATTATAATAGAAACTTTAGTAATTCCGATGTTTGTCGGAACTGATATTCTCGTTGAGAAAAAGAAATGTTGAACGTTTTTTATCACAAAATATGTTTAAATTGTTTAAATGTACCCACTGCTCAAAACATTCTCCTCTTACTTATTATATAAGCGACACGTACTTCTTAAACATTTTCTCGGTTTTCCGTAACACACCACTGTCTTGAAAGCTTCCGGGCGATGCATTCAATCAGCCGGTTATCCACGTCGAGACCGTTATCTCGTTTATGTTTCCTCAATGATGTCTAGCTGTTGTCAACATGCATACATATCTATCCTTTTTCTCTAAAAGTGACGAGCAACTTTAATTTATGGAAATTATTAACACTTACAAATTTTCAGCTTTAGGTTAGTTTTCTTAATATTATTCATATTATTTTATTGATTGTTCTCAAGAAAATTATACGTACAGCTCTGCAATTTCTTTCCTTCTCTTAATTGTGTATGCAAAAGTTTGGCGAGGTTAAGTCCGAACATAACCACACATTCGCACATACGCAAGAATAGAATATCTAAATGCATACGATATATGAATAAATACGAGCGATTATCTTCAGGCCCATCCAAACGTAATCGCGTATGACCGTGGAAACTGACAAATCATATCGTATCCAATACACGAGCACGTCAAACGCGTGTGATTGGTAGACTTCTCTGAGCACGAATTTACGCTGGCATGTTGGACTTTCTCGCTGAATAAAAACGAGATGTGAGGCATCCTTAATGCATATTTAAATTATAAGTAATTAGGTATAATGTTATCGGAATCGATTTCTTTGAAAAAGATTTATTGAAACATCAAGTAGTTTTTGAACTGCAATTAATAAAAAAGTAATCAGTTTTTTTGCAATTCTGGATACCTATCTGATTGTATACACGTAACAATTTTTATTTGTTGAAATGTATTTCTGAAATGTGAAATGATTTCAATATAATCAAACCCGATTAACTCGATTGACGATTAATTAAACAGAAATAGAATGGATTCTTATAATAAGATTTTTAATTGTACGTACGTGTACGCTTGTCATTTCTAATCTTTCTTCTCACATGTCAAACAACAGATTAATTTTACATTGCAGTTATGTTAGGAAAACACTAGTTTTGATAATTATATAAACTAATCGTTAATTAAGTTTATCGGAGTATGATTGAAGTTGTCTTAAGAAGATAAGAATTAACATTTTATAATTTAGATTTTTTTCCTTCCCAAGGAAAATAATTATATATTATAAATTAATAATATATTATTATATATATTAATATATATTAATTTTAAATAGTCGATTCTTATCTACGATAGACCTTCTTTCTCTCTTTTTTCTCTCCAAGATTAATTTATTGAATTCTGAAGAATATAAATAACGTTTGTATAAATCAATCTTTTAGCTATATATGTAGGTCTCTTACATTCTTATCTCTTCTAAGCTACAGTTGAAAAAAAGAACCGAGGGAAAAGTAAATGTGTGATAAAGCGTCGGTATAATGCATTATATGCCCTTTCAATTAATGTTCTCCCAGGTGAGACCATGTATGAGGTAAATTCTTAATCCTTAAGAATTATATTTTAGCGATATCAGAACTTTCACTAACAATAAGTTAATACAAATGATCCTGCGGCGTTTGAGATTCGAAAGGATATCTACTATAGAACACGTCTATTCACTAAGATCTTTCACGATCTAGCGTCTCGAATAATTTATACTGCATTCCGAAATCATTATTTCGCACTCTGCAGTTTCAGTAGAAATACGTCTAAATCAATGTACAGTTAACGACGTGCATCACGTCCGCATTTAATAATTAATGCTGTTCATAACAAATACAATTATGTAATTTGTATATAATATATAGGTACGTATCTTCAAGAGCAATTTCAGAACGCTAATTGCTCATTGCATTATCGTCTTACAGTAAGCGATCTAATGTACAGCGGCACAACCTCTCGTGCGTATTGCTAGAAACACCGCGCGGGGACGAGGCATTGTAATTTCGTTTAAACAATTCCGGGTGTAATGACGAACGCAACAACATTGCACGTCCTCCGTTCGCAGATGATAATCTCCGCGAAATACGCTACAATGAGTTTCTATCGATTCCGACATTCGCGTCGCTTCGTAAATCACGAAGGCAGGAGTCCTGATAAGAGAATAGAGAAAGAATTGTAAGAAAATAAAAATTGATTAGAGTAACGCGCTACAAGTTGTCTGTTCTCTTGTAGCGAATCGTGATATACGCAAATGAACGATGAGAACTCGTTAAATTCATCAATCTTACAATCTCCGTATTTACATGCTTTTTTCTCTAGTAACAATAATCCTACTAAATTATCCTCTATATCCGATTACTGCAGATGTAAGAATCTGCTGAATTGCATATGTTGAACAAACGAAGAATCAAGTACAACGCCAGAGCGATCTTCGATGTCTCTCGGAGCGGCTTGTTAACATCACTTTCAGTAGCATCTAGAAGAGACTAGCGATGAGAGATAGAGAGAGAGATAGAGAGAGAGAGAAACAAACGTTACATTACGTATTATTTATTTCACACACCACTGAGACTTTAAAAATTACTCCATTTGATAATCGCGAATTCTTATCTTTTCATCTTTTATTTTTCCGATCTGTCTATGCGCGAATTAACGTTAAATTGGGACGAGAGCGCGAAGAAAACAAAAAGAGAGACTCGTCGACCTAGAATAATTCGCGATTGTTAGTTATAACTATATAAAAATTGCATTAGATCGCGTTCGTCTCCCCCCCCCCCGTTCGCAGCATACATCATATCATGCTATTCTGCATGTGAAGTGTCAAAAAGCTCATGATTTTTACACGATGATAACATGGATGTGAATGGTATTCGCCCTTTCGCTCATTGTTCTAGGTCTTCGGAGTAGTCTAGACCGCAGGCTCCGTCATTTGTACACACGCAGAAAACTCCCAGATTTTCGCAAAAACAAAAACAAAACGATTCGGTCGAGTACTGGGCTTCACGTTAGTCACGAATTTGCACCTATAAACAACAAAAACACATATGTAAAAACTCTCGTTAATAAATACGTGAACAGAGCCGTATTAATTTATGTAACAGATAATATAGAAATTTCGTTAACTTCGAAACGATCTAAAAATAGAAATTTTGTAAACTCTGAAACCACGCTACCGGTAAACTTTAAAAATGGCAATTGCAACGTGAGGAGAGACGGGGCAAGAGGGGGAGGGGGGGGGCGGGGCGGGGGGAGAATAACATATCTATCGTTTTTAAATATACAAAGCCGTACTTTCGTGCACGCGCCGAATAAATTAATTTCGTCGATCTCGAATGCAAACGCGGATCGAATCGTGGACGATCAACAATCAATACTTAGGCTGCTACGTTCGCTTAAGCGTAAGAATCAAATCTTTTCTCACATTTGTTCTTTTTCTTTTTTTTTTTTTGTCTAAACGTCAGATCCGTGGCATCGTAAGGAAGATCCCACCGAGTTATAGATGTTGCCATTGGGTCGGCATCAGATTGTTCGAGGACTGCTCGAAGGCCCGGGTGACGGACTCGTGGATTCCGTGACTGAGCCATATACGATGTAGCCGCTCGTACTTCTCGTGGCAGAGATGCAGCGCGTTACCGCGCCGCAAACCCTGGTCCGTTTCCCCGTACTCGTCGAGATACGGCGGGCAGACGAAGGAACCGCGGTTAGGCGTGCGCAGAAAGAGGATCTCGCATTCGCGTACACGCAGAAATATACCGACACCGTAGCCACACTTGTTCGCGTGGTACGTGCACGCGCCTACCGGGGTCTTGTTGATCTCCGTCTGGCAGCAGTAGCTCTGTGAACACAGCATCTCGCCGCAGACCAGGCACATCGTCGGGTTACGTGAGTCCTCCCGATCGCTGTTCGGACAGGTGAACTGGGATATCGAGTTGATGAGCTCGCTATAATCGTCCGGCAGCTCTATCAGCTTATTCACCTTCAACGGATCCCTGATAATCGTCACCTTCTTCTCGCCCGACATGTGATTCCAAACGGTGGCGTGCCTCCGCCACACGGACATCAGCTCGAGGGCAACTTCCAGATGGGAGTAGATCAGAGCGTCGCAGGTAGTGGGCAGTCCCAGGTACTGGCAGAGTTTCTCGTACGTATCACCACGCACCTGAGTCAATTCGTTCAACGGCGGCACGTCGGTCACGTAATGAAAGTAGATAGCGCAACATCGGAGGAAGGGTCGGCAGGCGGCCTCTACTCGTCGCCACACGTCGCTAGCTCTCTGCTTATCATAGTGGACACCTAGAATATGAAATAGAGCAAAGTCCATTTTGGTTTCGACAACGTTCTCATTCTCCTCGTTATCATCGTCCTCGGTCTCGTGACTGTCCAATTCCATCGCGTCGGTGAAGTCGGATGTATACAAGATTTTCGCTATGTGACACAGGAACACGAGCTTGAGCGCGTGCGAATCAAACACGTCGCCTTTGATGATGGGCGGCGGATTTGGCGGCGTTTCATGCGCCTTCGTGTGAAATAAACTCGGCAGCGAATTGAGAAGCGGCACCAGTACGCCAAACGGATCGATGTCGAAAATGCTAGGGCCAGTGGACGGTGCCTCTATCAGTATCGTCAATAACGACGCCGCGTACGTTTTGATTTGATCACGCTGCGACCAGAGGTTTGCATTATTCGAGAAACTCGCACCCAAGAGAGCCGATAATCGCACGAGGCTCTTGAGACTGTCGCTTTGCCGGGAAGTCATGGCACCCAGCAGTGGCTTGTCCTGATCGCGCAACAGGAACTCTATCGCATGAATCGTGTACGACATTGACTTCCAGGCTAACAAAGGCATCTTCGAGTCACCGTCGAAACTACCAAATCCCTTGTACGTGGATTTCGTAAAAAGTGAAGCGTACATGTTGATCATGGCTTCCATCTTTCGCGTGAGGTTTGGCCCATATCGCGAATACTGCGTCTGGAATGGCTCCCAAGCACATCCAACCTGCTGACGAAGGACTGTCATGGGATTGACCATTTTTTCATCCTCCAATCTATCCTCGTCCTTCTCCATGACATTGCCAAATTTCCTATTCGGCTTGCACTCCATCGTGAGTGCCATTACCTTCAACCATGTCTCGAAAGTGATATCCGGCTGAGGTTCCGGGGTCGGTTGCAGCATTCCTAGGGACGGTACGAGCAGGAGAACGGTGTTACTGAGACACTCGCATAACGGGCAGAGATACTCGTGGTTCTCTGCATCAAAACTAGCCTGCTGTCGTGATCTATAGGGCCGCCGATTCTCCTTGGCGAGCACGTTGTCGACGTAATCCTGCCAGCAGCGAGCGTGCATTACGTGACCACACGTGCTCGTGTGCGGTGACATGCCCAATTTCGCCGACAGATACAGCGGATCGTGTTCTTGAAAATCGCCGTGGCATTGACACAATACAGTGGACTGCTGAACAAATGCAGCCAATACCATTGCCGAACCAGTTTCCGTCACGATCTGATCCTCTTGGCACAGAATGCACGTGTACATTTTTTGTTCGCATAGTCTACTAGTCTGATTAATGCCGACGGCGACAGGAGTACCTTCCAGAGAAGAAGCCTCCGTTAGATCCATGGCGGAGCCGCGATCACTTGTACTGCTGGAACTCAACTGGCCTGCTACCTCAAACAAATTAGCGTTCTTCTTCATGAAATGCTTCTGCATAGCTGCCATTTGTGCCATGATCTTGGCACGCTTCTGAGCTGCCATTTTCGTCCGCCATTCTTTATCCGTTTTATTGTTGGTGTTAGCATCAGTCTCGCCCGCTTGCTGCTGCTGCTGCTCGAGTTGAAGAGACGCCGGACTAGTCTCTTTCCCAGTCAAACTGGCGACCTGACGATACTTTGCCAAGACCCAGGTGAGCAGATCCTTGTGAGCCTCCATGCGCGGGCTGCTCGTCAGATTCTCCAGCAACTTATAGATGTTCCATTTCGCTGCTCGTTCGGGAAACGCGAGAAAAGGATAATAGCCGGATTCCTGTTCTTGCAACGCATATCCGATCAGATATAGTACCTTGTGCACCTGCGGCTCGGAGAAACTCCTGGCTATGAAATTAAACGCACGTTCCAGCACCGTTTGCATGATGTGAAGCATAACGTCGCACTGCAGCAGATTCGCTACAAGGCTGAACGATTCCGTCAATCTAGGCAGCTTCGGCGGCGGACAGCATTCCAGCTCTCCCTGAGCTTTCCGGCGCTTCCGTTGAACTTCCTCGGACTTGCTGTGTTCTTCCTTGGTATAATGATAAAAGAACACGTTATACTCTGAGTAGAATTGCGGATTGAGTTCGTACACACCCTTCGCCGACGAATCCACCGGTTTCTTAAACTCCGCTACTTCATGTATCACCCTTTCCAACTCGCTCTGAACATTATGCACAATATCCTCCGATAATGTCTTGCTCAGTTCCGAATGCGAGAGAGGCTTTATACACAGTTGTTGTATAATCTCCTTTTTGAGACGATCGTCTACTGTCACCTGACCAATTCCGGGAACGTATCTCTCGCCAATGATCGTGATGAGCAAGCCCAAGAACTCCTCCACTAGGTTGATCGTCTGCCGCATACTGTCCTCCTCCGGATTTTTCAAGGCGTTCACCTCGAAATCTGGTTGCACCCAATTAAGAAGATTAAATCTGTTTAAGACGTGAATCAAGAATTCATTGCTTTCTATCAGCGACGCGCCAACCTGCAACAAAATAATATCCCGATCCAACATCTCGCTGCGGCACTTCACATTGTGATAAAAGTACAGCTGATTCAGCAGGGAGTAGCCGTTCCGCCGCCACATGCCCGCGTGCACCTGCGAGATCATAGCCTGCGCCGTCAGTACGGGTTCGATGATCTGTTCGGGCGTCGGTTTCATTGGATTGTTAAATTCAGGCGACTGAAAGTGTAAATTGTATTTTTCCAGATGCAGGAAGAGGCCGGCGAGGAATCTCGAGAGCGGCAAATGAATGGAAACCGGTTCGGATGCCACGTCGTATTGCAAGCACGTCGCGCTGTGATTCGCCAACTCTCGCACCTGGCTCGGCGGCGGCTCGTTTGGATTCTGTTCGTACAGTTTCTTCAGAAGCGCTATGAAGGACTTGATCAGTACAACTCGGTCCGAGCTGCACCACTCCAGGGCCAGCGTGATGGCTGCTGATAATTTTATGTGCAAATTGAACGCTGACTCCCATTCCGGCTCGTACTCCATATGCTGTCCGACCTGTCGGAGCACCGCGTCCATGCACTGCATGTTGGAAAAGAGGTTGAACAACGGCGTGAGACCCTGCAGGAAGCCACGTCTCAGATCGTCCGTCCATTCCTCCGGTTTCGCGCTCAGCAGGTATCGAAGATCGTAAAGTATGTACTGCGCCCGTTTGAAGTTGTGGTGTGGCGTATTCCTCTCGAACTCCAATTTCCCAGCGGCGTTACATCGCCGGGAGCTCTCGGACATGAACGTGGTCATTAAGTTGAACAGCGCCTCGTGTTTCGCGATGAGCAAATGTGCCAGTGTCGGCACGGTGAACAGCTGAACGGAGAGCGAGACGATCGAGAACGAGTGATCGTGATCGTCCTTAATGAAATCCTTCATAACAGATCCGTAATTGTAAGTGAATACAATGGCGAGCGCTTTTTTACTCTCATATTCCATGAGCATTCCGTATATGAATAACCTGTGCCACACTGTTCTAGCGGATTTCCACAGTTGCGAATCTCTCGTGAGTATGCCCTCGACAATCGACATTTCGGGTAGCTTTGTGTTGAGAGCGATGTTGCTGAACAGGACGCGGAAACCCTCGCAGTGACTTATAAATTGTTGCAGCCAATTGAGCAGTCTTATAGCAAACGTTTGATGGGCGACTATGTGAGTATGAAGGACGAGTACCTTAAGCGGTCGATTGCTATGCCTATACGTGAACTTCTCCACTTCATTACGCAACTCGTTGCAGTCCCGAAATAGCGAGCATTTTATCACGGCTCTACCCTCTCGGTCGACATTAGTCACATACTCCACAGCCTCCTTCTGTGAGCATTTGAGAACGCGTACGAGCATGGTTATTACTTGATCGAAGGTATGATGCTCGTCGTTGAAGAGCACAGTGCAGTAAGTATCGTAAATATCCAACTGATCGAGCGTGAACGAGGCGTGAACGTAAAGCGCTGTATCTCTGATGCAGAGATTCGTTGGTAACGTCACAGTGTATCTCAGAGTCAGCAGTTCGTAACAGTACTCTAATAACGCTTCGAAAGCAGTCACCGCTCTCTCCGCGATGTCGCCGGGCAGCTTATTACCACGCGACTCCTTCGCCTGGGTACCCACGACATGCGTCTTGCAGAACGGCTCCTTCTTCCAGGCTTCCGTGTCGCCGCAGTCGCAGCATCCGCCCCCGCTGGACGTGCCCATTTTGTACTTGTGATTCCGATGTGCCGACTGTTTGAAACAGTCCACGCAGAGAACGCACGTGGAGTCCATACCGCACTCCCTGCAGCTGTAGGTCGGCTCGCCTATCTTGAACATTTTGCCACATATGGACGGTGGATTGTCCATCTTGGCAAGCTCCTTGAGAATCACCTGCGGATCACCGCCGCAAATGAATTCCTCCAGAGGTCTAAAAAGCATCCTGTTCGCCGTATCCTCGTCGATGATCCATTCCAGACAGTTGCCGTTACGCTCCGGGCTGAATATCTTTGGCACCCAAATTCGCCAGTATTCTCTGAAGTTAATACTTTTCAACACTCCCTTGTTCATCTTCTCCGTCCACACATCCACACATCGTTTGTCCGTGTCTGGGAATACAGGTCGCAGCGAAGCAAGACTTATTTCTTCAAGGACCAGAGGTGGCCTCTGGCTTTCTTCTGTACTTTCACTGCTCATTTTGTCTCATTTAAACTTCCCACGCAATGTATACTGAAACAGCGAGCACGAGAGAAAAGACAATGAATTATAAAGAAAAATCATATCGTCAGAGGAAAAAGGTAAATATGTATATACATATAAATACTAACCAACAGGAAATACACAATAGAAACGATTGTAGATGTAATCCAGGCAAGCGCACATCTTAATGTCTACACAATTAATTCGGCCAATATTTATCGCTATAAAACATGGCTACAATTTCAGTAACCTTAAGTCTTTCATCCGAGAGGCTCAGATAAGTACTCGTGGAGTTACTTTGATAAATTCCTATTGCACGTATCACCAGCTTCAGCAGCTCACAAAATCTGAAAGCACAACCATCCTTTGTGAGTTCATGTGCCAAATTACGTTTAAATATGGTGCCTACACTTTAAATATTGCCAGAATATTCGTCGCGAATTTAACATCTACCTATACAGCTGTACACACATATATATATACATATATATATATGTATATATATATATATATAGTGTCATATATATACATATGTATATGTATACACAAAGGAAATGCGAGATCCAAGCCAAGAGCGCGACGACACGAGTGCAACGCACATCACTGTACTGCGCTGCAAGCATCCTCGCGCTTATATATGCGTCCGCGATATATCATGCAGATTAGTCAATGCTCAACGAAGCGAGGGGAGAGAGAAAGAGAGAGAGAGAGAGCACGAGCGAGAGTCCTTCTTTTTTTAAAAGCGTCAAGCGAAAACTTTTTCGAGGCCGCTATTTTCGTCGATGGGAGAAACACTCACTGTTGTCGACGAGCGGGTCAAGGTTAATAAAAGGCGCTCGCGGGGCTCTTTGTGTTTCCCCCCCGCGAGCGACCAGTTTCACGCCACCACCCGCGACGATGACGATGACGATGACAACGACGTTTGGCGACCTCGCGTCCACGTAGCCCCGACGTGATCGGGCGACCGTCGTCCGAGTTTATCAACTTGGCGACACCGCGCTCTACGTACCGCGCGCGGCCGCGAACGTTGACATTTCGCGGCGAGACGAAACGAACGACGATTATCCTGCGCACAGCTGCTCCGGACGGTGATACACCAAAATGGCTCGTGACGACGACTCGCGAGCCCCTGTCCACTCCGCGGCTTGCGCAGTCAGCTAGGACTACGCCAACGCTCGAATCGGGAGAGTCGTGCGACTCATGCGGCGGGCGTTTAGGTTTCCTACACTTTTTCACGATTTATGTTGGCTGCTCTTTTTACAATCAGGACAGGCAACCGAAATTGACCGAAGATCCCGCGGATCTAGGAAATTTCGGAGTGTCACTTCGGTTGCCTATCCTGAGTGTAAAAAGAGCAGCCAACATAAATCTTGTCGTGAAAAAGTGAGAAGGATCTAGGAAATTTCGGAGTGTCACTTCGGTGGCCTATCCTGAGTGTAAAAAGGGCAGCCAACATAAATCTCGTTGAAACTTTTGCCGGTGTTGCGAAAAACGCCGGGATAGCCGCTCCTCGTGCTTTTCACTTTTTCACGACGAGATTTATGTTGGCTGCCCTTTTTACACTCAGGATAGGCAACCAAAGTGACACTCCGAAATTTCCTAGATCCGCGGAACAGTGTGGGAAACTTAAATGGCCGAACGGCTCTCTCGATAGCCTCGATTCCGAGACGTTGTTCTCCCTTGGCTTTCCGCTGCCCCCGATACCGTTGTATATACTTGTAGACCTTGTAGTGCGGACCGTCGCGTTTCGAGATAAATCCTAATATGGCCAGCGAGAAAAAACCGGCGAAGACGCCGTCGAAAAGAGAGAAAACCGCCGAGGAGATACTGACAGAGTTCCAGTCGCTCCGAAATGAACAGAGGATTCTGGCAAACAAACTGTCTGAGATGGAGATGGAGTTGAACGAACACAAGTATGAGTCCGCCTAACCTGCATTCGCTTGCTTGCCCTTTTCCCCGTTTTCCCGACAAATTGAAAACGCTCCTGCGAAACGCAAGAGGAGCTTGCGCTTTTTTTAACCCTCGCGAAATCCTTCGATCGACATTGAGGGACGAGGGTATTAAGTCAAGTACGATAGGAACGCGACTCGTTGCCGTCCCGCTAATAATACGACTGACGTTTTAGAATTGTTATCGACACGTTAAAGAATGTGAGTCCCGAGAGGAAGTGCTACAGGATGATCGGTGGGCTTCTGTGCGAGCGCACGGTGGAAGACGTGATGCCTGCTCTGGTGACGAACAAAGAACAGGTGAAGACAGCATGCTGACACTACCGTTTTTTCTCTTCGGAGCATCGGACTGTCTGGATACACTTACAATAACATTTACGTGTGTTTTCAGTTGATGAAAGTGATAGACGCTTTAAACGACCAGGTAACGAAGAAGGGAATCGAGATAAATGAGTACAAGGAAAAGCACAACATCAGAATCAGAGGGCAGGATGATTTGCAGCAACAAGAAGAGGATAACAATAATAAGGAAGACAAGAGAAAGGCGATTGTTGTGAATCCCATTGAGATTTAAGCATAATAAATATAAGCGTTTTTTTTTTAATATTATAAGGCATATTGAGACACGCGTGAAGTCCAGGGATTGTAAAAGTAACGACGGTTTTGAGTTGAATGCATTTTTAAATTAGTCTTTATGCAGCACCGCTTTACGACATCATATCGCTACGCGTCGTTCCGTATAGCGTTGTATGTGTAAGTATATTTGACCCAAAAGGAAAAAGAAACGAATATTTTTGTCTTACAAAAGTTAGGCTCTGTGATTAATTATTTTGCGATGAGGTATTTTTTTGGATTACTTGTATCTCTGCATCAAAAGTGAAATAATAATGTAACGTTCGTACATTTATCCACTGTAATCAACTTTAAATGATATTTTTACATATTTTTTATATTTATATTAGATGCTCGTGTATTTTTTTAATTCGCGCAGAAAGAAATTGTGTATATATAAGCGCGTAGATATAAATCGCAAAGGTATAAGTGACGAGGGTATAGTTTAAAAAAGAAGTAACAAGGAACATTGAAAAAAATGTTGACGCAAAGCTTTTTTATGCCCATCGAGCGCGACAGTGTGTGTTTTCTATTTTAACGACACAAGTTTGACACAAATGTCATTCTTTTTTTGCTGTAACTGATTGAAAAAAGAAGACAAAAAAAATATATGTCGTCTTTGTCGTTAAATGAAAACCATCCGGTAAAGAATTAAGAGGCACGATTGGAGGTTAGAACGCTTAACCTCCATATTAATCTTCGCGGAATCGGCCAATTGCGCGGGACGTCGCATAGGGAATTGCGACAGCACGTGCCGTTCCGCGCGCGCGAGAGGGACTTTCTCGCGTGATCGCGCGGCGTACGCAGGAATTCCGACAGGAAAACACGCGAATTTATTTTTCCGCTCCGAGGACGACGCTCTCCGAGGAGTCGTCCAATACGAGGGGGGCGAGCGATCGCGGGTTCCTGGCACGATGTTGTGGTCCCCGCTACGCCGTGTTCCACGCTAATCTGAAATTTCATCACCGGCTCCCCCGACAGAACCCCGTCGACCGGCAGGCTAGCCCGCGAGACCGCCTGTGCGTGCCCTATTGGCGTGTAGTCCTGAGTCCTGGTGGAGGTGCACGTCAAGAGTCTGTGATGGCGGCGTTGTTGAAGGTTAGTTGGACGTCGAATAAACAAATTTCCGTGGAAAAAAGGAGGCTCGCGGCAACGTCCTCGAGGATTCTGGCCATGCGTGTGTCGCCGTTATCTCGTCGCGATAACGGGCGCGTCCCGACCGCTGCAAAATTCGGCAATATTCAAGTCTCCGATATCGCGATTCGAAAGATTTTTTTTGTTTTTTTTTTTGTTTGTTTATCGCATCGACGATCAAGCCCACGTTTCGACGATTGATCGAGATTTCGAATATCCGATCGAACGTCGTTCCCGTGGGCTCGTGCTTTTTTTCCGCACGGCATATTTCGATCACTTATTTTTTATCTAACACACACGATACTGATATTTAGGATAGGACACAATTCACATTCGAGGACAAATGGCCGTACATGCGTCCAATTATACTGAAACTGCTCAAGCAAGAGCCAGTGACGCAGGGGGAATGGCAGGATTTGTTTTATTCCGTTCACGTATGCCTATGGGATGACAAAGGGCCTCCCAAGTTGCGTGATGCTTTGAAGGATGATATAATGGATTTTATAAAACAAGCTCAACAGGTGAGAGATTTATTTTCCAGCCGAAAGCGAGTGAGACTGTACTTTCGATGTATCTTCTTTACATGTTTCATTAAAATAACCGAATGTTGTGTACGTTATGATTTACAGAGAGTTTTAGCACACCAAGAGGAACAGGCATTGTTAAAAGCGTACATCGCCGAGTGGAGGAAATTTTTTACCCAATGTAATTATTTACCAACACCGTTTAGGCAACTAGAAACTTATCTTGCGGGAAAAACTAGCTCCGGCGCGCAGAAAAAAAATCAGCCCGATGACATCGTTAGAAAGGTAAAGGAAATGCCGTTTGATACGTAACATAATATTTCGTAGTGATCATGTGATCTTACACCTCTTTATTGTACAGCTAATGTTGGATAGTTGGAACCAAAGTATATTCAATGAAATAAAGCAAAGACTCCAGGATGCGGCCATGAAATTAGTGCGAGCTGAAAGAAACGGCGAGGCGTTTGATTCTCAACTTGTTATCGGCGTCCGAGAATCTTATGGTAATAAATGAAACATTCACAAATTGATATACAGCAGAATATTTTTTATTAATAATATAACGTTGTAATGCTCTAGTGAATTTATGTTCAAATGCAACGGATAAGCTTCAGATATATAGAGAAAATTTTGAGGCGGCGTATATACAGGCCACGGAAGCGTTCTATTGGATAAAAGCGCCAGAATATCTGTCTATACACGGTGTAGAAAATTATATGCGTTACGCTGATTCGAAGTTGAGAGAGGAGGAGGCGCGTGCTCAGAAATACTTGGAGCCGAATACCGCGAGTATGCAAAGATTAACGGATTGTTGCGTAAAAGTGTTGGTTGCGACTTTTAAGCCAGCGATACTCGCGGAATGCCCGCAAATGATTAAAGAGAATCAAACTGACAGTGAGTATTCATTTGCCTTGCAATTTTATAACTGTAACTTTAATTCTTTGGTGTGCGATTTTACGATGACATTTCCGAGCGCTTAACGAGAACAAATGATTGCAGAACTCCGCCTCATGCTGAAATTAATGGACAGAGTGCCCGACGGCGTTAATCCTATGTTGAGAAATTTGGAAGAACATATCGCGAACGCGGGTCTAGCGGACATGATGGCAGCTGTAGACGTTATCACTCAAGATTCCGAGAAATACGTGGAAAGACTGTTAGATCTTTTCCATAGATTTTCCACGCTCGTTAAAGAGGCATTCGATGATGACCCGCGGTTTCTTACAGCACGAGATAAAGCTTATAAGCTCGTTGTGAACGACGCCACGGTATTTAAATTAGAATTGCCTACTCGGCAGGGCTCTGGAATCGGTGGCGCGTCCGTTTTAAATAATAGACCTATTACTAATAATAACGGACTAGCCGAATCGAAGTGTCCGGAACTCTTAGCGAATTTCTGTGATATGCTTCTTAGAAAAACACCACTCAGTAAGAAACTAACTACTGACGAAATTGAAAGTAAATTGAAGGATGTGGTGAGTGTACACAGTCAGATAACTATATATCCATTAGACATTCAAATCTTTTCCGATGAAATTTATTCTCGGTATCGCATTTTATTTCAGCTGCTGGTGCTAAAATATGTTCAAAATAAGGACGTATTTATGCGTTATCATAAGGCGCATCTAACTAGACGGTTAATATTAGACACGACAACGGATTCGGAAAAGGAAGAGAATATGGTAGATATGCTTCGTGAAGTCGGCATGCCCGCGGACTTTGTTAATAAATTAGCCCGTATGTTCCAAGATATTAAAGTATCTCAGGATTTGAATCAACAGTTTAAAGAACAATGTCGAGCTGCTATTGCAGATAGCATAAATATTAAGGTAGTTGCACATATCATTTCTTCGGTGCATTTATGATTAGTATTAAAAAGAAAAATAGAAAAGATATACGTAAAAGATACATATTGATACAGATTCAGAATTCTTCAAAATATTAATCTGCTATATTGTAGATTCTCAACGCAGGTGCATGGGCCAGGGGTAGCGAACGTGTCACCGTGAGTTTACCGCTTCAGTTGGAAGATTATATTCCGGAAGTTGAAGAATTTTATAAGAAAAAACATAGCGGGAGGAAGTTGCAATGGCATCATCACATGTCGAATGGCACGGTACTTTATACATTAATAAAATTCTATTCGTGCTCTCGTAACACTTCAAATGCATATGCTAATCCCAACGTAAGATATTTCATAACGTGGTCGTTTCAGATAACATTTGCAAACAAAGTGGGACGCTTCGATATAGACGTAACGACTTTCCAAATGGCGGTGTTGTTCGCCTGGAATCAACGACCCAACGAAAAGATTTCTTACGAGAATCTCCGGTTGGCCACTGAGCTTCCGGATCCCGAGCTAAGACGGACTCTGTGGTCTTTGTGTGCCTTCCCGAAGTTAAAACGGCAACTTCTTTTGGTGGAATCGCATGCCGCTACCCCGAAAGATTTTGCGAACGATACGAGATTTTGGATTAATCAAGAGTTCGCTATTGTGTTAGTATTTATTTGTTTATATTGAACAAAAAATGTCACAATGCGTGTTGTATATTTAATTTATTTGGCTCGATGATTATCTTGTTTGTATTTCTGAATTTAGCATTTATGTGCAATAATATGCAATTTGTTCTAATAATAATTTAATTGAATTAATTGTAACTATATTAATTGCAATACTTTTACGTTAGAAAAAATGGCAAAATGCAAAAACGGGGAAAAATAAATTTGATAGGACGTCTTCAATTATCAACGGAACGTAGCAGAGAAGAGGATAACCAATCTATTGTACAACTCAGAATATTACGGGTTCAGGTATCGTATGGACTTTTAAATAGAAAAATATCGATTTGTTTAGTTTAATTGGTGAGTGAATAATTCTCATCTTTTGTGTGATTACAGGAAGCTATCATTCAGATCTTAAAGATGCGCAAAAGGATCACTAACGCGCAATTGCAGACCGAACTAGTGGATATATTGAAAAATATGTTTTTGCCGAGTAAAAAGATGATAAAGGAACAGATCGAATGGCTGATTGAACACAAATATATTCGGAGACACGACGATGATATTAATACGTTTGTGTATATGGCATAACACGGGATTATATATACATGCGAGATTGTTCCAGCTCTGTGGTTAATATTATATTTTTATAAAAAAAAAGATTTAGTTTTCTCATGTGTGAGGATACGTTCGAGTCCGTCGCGTCGCGCGATTATGTTTCCTCCGTTTTCTTACAGTGCAGTGAACAGAAAGAAAGGACGATATACTGTTGTATTAACTTTTGAGATACGAAGGTGATAGGCCAAGTTGCAATCATTTCCACCCGACAATTGCTGATTTATTATACGTGAATAAAGTGAATAATGTATAGCAAAACTGGAGAAAGTGTCGCAATAATAATAAGATGTACAATATCGTACCATGCAAACTAGCATTTACCGTTTATTTTGGCATTGATCTATATTAATCTAATTAGAGAAGAGAAAGTGGATTAAATTTAAAAAAGAATTATATATGTATATGTATATATATCGGTGGTATTATCACTACTTTAGTCGTTTATACTCGCTAAAAATATATTCCTGAAATGTTTTTTTCTGGAATCCGTATTTTAAATTTGTTAAAAGCCTTTGTTATATTATCGATATTGTTACGCAATAACAATTTGGCACTAAAACATCGATAGATCCTTGCACAAATCTGAATCAGTGCACGTATATATGTACATTGCATTAAATTCAATCGTAAATAATAAAAATTCGCATATACTTGAATAAATATATATATATACACTATATAATATTTTACATATGGATTTACTCGTCACTAATTAGATGTGGACTACTGCAAAACATTCGTTCGGACATTCTCTATACATTCTTGATTTATAGCCCTAGAATTTATAATCAAATTTGCGGACGGCGTTCGAAGAATTATTCATAATTTTCTTTCCGAATTCACATTAAAAGAATAACGTCGTCTAATCCGGCCTACAATACTTTAATGCATATAAGCATATATACCTCGCAACACCAAACTTGATTTCAAACGGTGATAGAAATATATGTGTATTTGTACGATGATTTTTTTCTACATCTGGAATAGTCACGATGATTCGAATTGTCGGAATAAGTCAGAAAAAAATAGTTATTTAAGCAAATAATAACGATGGTTATATGTATAAAGCTTTTATATAACTTCAATAAGTGAAAGACGAGTGTAATGATATAAAATCTCAATGAATTAAACGACAGAGTATTTCATAACTGTGTACAATACGTCTTTATCAAATCGATTTCCATTTTACCTATTATTATGCGGATAAACGCAATGAGTTTCACGCGGCAACAGTAGCGCAGGCTATATATATATGTATATAATATATATCAGAATTTTAACGTAAAATAATTTTATATATTTTCTTTTCTTTGATACAAATTATTTGTACATTATTTTCTCTGGTGCAATAATTATTCGTATTATTTGATTAGGATCTTCGGAATTGTTCGGTAAAGAAAGTTTTAAATTAAATGATGAAACGGCTTTACGCCATTCCATCGCCGGGAGAATGTAAACGGTAACCACACTATACAAAAGTAAGTGCTGCTATAAAGTATTTATAAATATTCAACAATTATTTTTAGGTCACAGATCCTGCAGGAATTATATACGTTTTTTTTACGTACAGAATATATACATATACACAATCACCACACTGTCTCGGCATAAATCATCGGTAACGCTGATATGATCACATACGTCTCTCTAGCTTATTTTTTTTTTTTACTAACTTAATCCTCTTAAAGAGCAGAGTGCGATAACAATAAGTTTTCATAAACTTCATTAACAAGAGACCATAGAGATATAGCTTTAGGATAGCATGTAACGTTCAAGCTAATGTGAACTAGCTTTCTACGGAAAAGACACAGAACGAAGAATCACATGATATTTTTAGAATAATACATTCGTATACGCACACATATCACATACATATTAATGCCATATATTTCCGTAGATTTTCTTCTCGCATGCACGCAAAACGAAAAATTCCACAGGTATAGTCTTGAGAAAGTGTTTCTTGAAACGGAAAGAGAAATATGTGAGAATAAATAAATAAACTCGAAGTTTTTGATTCGATTGATTATTCTAACATTAGTATCATTTGTGGAATTACAACAAGATTGTTATGCATTACGCGTGCTGTTTAAGAATACAAATAACACACTGACAATGAGAGGTAGAATCGCAAAATCTCTGAATATAGTTCCAACGATTTTTCTTCGTCGACGCATTAATCGTTAGTTTAATCAGATCGGACGTAATTTCTCACGATATGCAATTATTGACACTGGGTGAAACATAGAAATAATATAGGCCCAACTTGAAGTCTCCTATGTAATCTACCATGTAGATTTTAGAGAAGAAATGGAGCGCAAGCATACCCTTCACGAATTCTCAACGATTAAAACATAAAAATGAATTCTACTTTTGATCGGTATGTAACAACGGATATTTATAGATCGTTAGTATTTATAGATCGCTGCTACCCGCGGGAAGCTTGGTAGATACCAGACGCCGTGTCGTTACCTGTACCGCATCGAGTTGTGTAATTTTTTTCACAACGTAATACTTTCGTCAATTCGATACCAGCCGCGTCAGTTTTGAATTGCAACTCCAACGTAACACTAAAATCGCTCGCTAGATGTGTGTATGCGTGCCCTTTCGCCAGTTCGTATCTGACTTTTTGAACAGGGCACAAAAAGGTATCGTGTGACAAATCTGAAACGCGATTAAAGGGAAGGGAATTAATGTTCCGGACATCGCGTGTGTTGAATGCGAGGCGAACTTTTCGTCGGATTCGCGTTTTCGCAAACGTGCACAACTATGCCTGGCTGTCCCGACCCTCCTGGATGTATCTCGTGTGTATCGCCTGCAATATCAATAATTATATTTATGTAAAATACGAAATCGATTGCGTGCAATAAGTTTAAAGTAATAAGGATCAACCTGCGGATAAATTAGCTATAGCGGTTAATAAATCGTAATTAACGAGCGGCTCTCCTTCCTCACGTGGCTCCCAACCGACCGGCGGAGAAGCGGGAGGAGATATGAGGAACTGTTTGGTAAGCGCGGGCGGTTGAAGATGTTGATCCTCCATGTCTACAAGTTATATTTCATATCTCGTGAAAATACGTGAACTTTCTGCGCCTCATTAATTTCATTAATGTGACGACATTTAATTCTAGAATTCCCACAATGATTACGAACCTATAGGCGTTACTGGTTGCGCAAAGTAACAATTGATATCAGTTTCCCCGAAATGCGATTGATGCAGCTGTATCCTCGCGTTCGCTGCAGCACTGGGGGAATTATAGTTTACCCTCATTCTTCTGAAGGATCTGAAGTATTGAAATGTCGCGTCTTCTCCAAACTCTTTAAAGAGATTTTCTATGGCCGACTGTAAAGAACACAGCATCGCACGATGTAACATTAGAAGGTCCCTCTTCGCGCGCGCGATAATTCGTACAAAATATATATTACCTTCAAATCGTCATCCTTAAAAACTCGAGGATCTACATTTGTAACAATTACAGAAGTTGGCAGATCTTCGTCGTGAACCAACTCGTCGATCGATCTAATACCCGTGTCATCTTTTTCTCTCTTAAATTTGAGTTCTAACTGTTCATAGTTTGGATGCAAGTTTGGTAAGCCATCCACTTCGTTAATTATTATGTTTTCGGGGTCTTCCAGCTCTTCCTCTTCTACCATATCTCTACTGCCGCGTTTCTCCTCCATTTTTATTTCCTGCTCTGCTTAGAAATAAACGAGAATTGTCAAGTTAAGGAAAAAAATTCGAGACTCCAAAAGAACGATAAAAACTTGAAATGGTCCAGCATTAATTATTGAAAATCCGTTAATAAAAATTATTTACTGGAATATCATTCAATAAAATTGAAACAAAATACTTTGCAAAAAATGGCAGATATTTAATAAATTTTAATAAAGCTCTATAAAGTAGCGATTAACTTTACACATAATTTACGCTTTTCATCAAGTTGTATATTTACGTATTAATAATTAGGGAAAGAGCAGGCACTAGCCTAGATCCACTTTATCGGTCACGCAAGTATCTACTTTTGTTGCCGCCAGCGCGAGTGAATAAAGTATATACGATTCGATGTGTTGTCATTGAAGGCTGTTCGCGGACTTCGCGGGAGAACCTTATGTATGTTTTTGTCGCCGGACTAACGGACGACGATGTCAAGCCGTTCCTCTTACCTTTCGGCGACGAGGAGGAAACCGAGCACACCGACCTGGATGTTCTCGCAGACGCTGGCTTCGTCAACGGAGGTATTTATATGTTTCACGCATAGGCAAAGTCTACTCCATCTCGGTGGATCTAGTCATCGCGTCGCTCCGACATCGGCATCGCCGCATCCACCCGGGTTTCACTCTACCACCGTACGTGTCTCCTCACCGACGACGTTCGCTATTTCATCACCGCGACGTAACCGCGCGTCATCGTCGACTTCAAGGCAGTAGGTCGGAGCAGCGGACGATTCGCGCGTCCCGTCCGTATCGTGATCCGATCGAAATGCCATGGTCCGTGGGTCAGGTTAGGCGCGTGCGGCCGTGAATGGAACTGTTGAAAACCAGTTGGACAAATATCGTTCTCCCTGATTTCATCGGACATGCCGGCCGATTGGCCAGCGGTCAAACGGAGAGTCTCTAGAAGCTCCTGGAACAACTCCCATAAATTCTCTATCCGGCGACCAATTAAAACTTCCGATAACCGATCTCGAAATTCGCAGCACTTCAAATTCGAATTGTTATCGATGGCAAACGTGTGAATGTTTTCTTATACCAAATTACATTTTAATTAAATAAATTTTAATAATTTAAAAAAAAAATAAATTTTCAAAAAAATGACGTTTTAATCGGCCATATTGAATCGGCCATTTTTAAATAAAATCACGACTTTTTAAAAAATAGCCACATAATTCATATTTAAGATGAGCCCAGAAAAAAGTCGATATCTTTATTTTTCTGGAAGATATGAATTTTTAAACATTGGGGAAAAGAGGCTTCAATGCAGATAACATGGCAATTTGAAGATAAAAAAATTTTTTTGAAAATTTTTTATATCATTTGATTTTTAAAATAAAAATTTTTTTTTACCCACCATCACCCACCACCATCAACCACCACCACCACCACTATAGGATAGCGACGTGATATTTATACATGTTTGAGTTTTAACGTGCGGGTTATACAAAGTAGTAGATAAGTGAATTTGAACGTTTATATTTTATACATATGCGTAATTACAGTTACACGAAAAATGTTTGAATATATAAAATATGACATATCTTTATAGATTGCGATGTAATTATCTTTATTATCTATGTTGTATAGATATAGGATACTGTTACATTGATCTCAGTAGCATATTGCACACAAAAGTCATTCTAAATGATTTAGCAACTAACGAAATTTCTGTGTATACATAAATAATTTCTCAAAGCGAATATCAGGTATGGCGACCTGCAAATTTTTTAATTCGATAGTCAACACACTGGTCATGTATATTATATAATGCTTTGCATATCACAAATAATAATGATTAACAAAGATAATTGCTATAACTAATGCTAATTAGCAATATAACTAATGCTTGGCATTAGCTTAACATGTTTTTTTTAAGACTTTTTTTATGTATATATAATATCTTTATATAATCTGAATTGAACGTTGTGCGTTTAAACACACAATTGCACATTAAATGCACATTGCTTGCGAAACTTTTTTCCTTCTCGCATTACCGACCGATAAAAAATTTAGTTTCACTAAAGCACTGACTAGGTCGAGCGTAGCATAAGTTAAAATACGTAGTTAAAATAATGTCTGCGACATTAACAATTCCTTGTTTTCAAGGAATCACTTGTACCTACAATGATAGCCATAGTAGTTGATTACGATAAAAGCAAATTACATACAAATCACATTACATACGTTACTTTGCACTCACACAAACGTAAAAAAAAATGCCCGCTAAAATTTCAGACATGTGCAGGACGAAGCAGATATACCCTAGATTAATCTCTCTTTTTTGCAGTCGTTTATCCGTTGCGTAACGCGATATTTAATACTCAATAAAACGCACTTGTAGTATTTGTATAGATAATAATAGATTTATATAGATAATTATCCTGTATTCCTCTTTTTATCTATAATAATACTAATTAATACTTCACGTTTCGCACAACGGGATTTGTACTTGTGTGCATTCGTATACGGTGCACAAGTGTGTCATCTAACACCGTCCACACATGTCTACATTGCGATTAAAATTAATATCACCGTGACGAAAAAAAAAAAGCATTTACAAACGGCCTATATCGTTGCACGTAGAGAACCTTATTGTAGCGTGCAACCGCTCGCGCTTTTCGGTTCTTTGCTACTTTGATGAATCGCCTCCTCTTTAACTGGCGGCAAATTCTGCTCCTTCTCCGCTTTCGCCCTTCCTCCGGATAACACTTTGTACGTAACCAAATTCCAAACCGGATTCGGTGGAGGCATTTGAAAGTCAATCGGGCTGACCAAGCCGTAGGTAGCTTTGGTATCCAAGGTCGGAATTTCTCCGGGTATTGTATGGTGATATCTAATAATTAAATTCGGATTAATGCATTGTTTAAGTGTTATACATTTAAAAAACAATCGCGTCGCATTAAAATAATAATAAAATGATAAATCTAAACGAGATAATTACATCAAGCCGTTTTCTCGATTACACTTATCGAGAGTAAGCTTCACTATCGGCGCCAAGCGTCTGAACACAGCGTGCTCGTCCGGTTTGACGCGAGGCGCGGGCCCGTTCGTTTTCCTGTATTCCTGACAGAGCGCTTTCGCCTTCTTTAGACACGCGTCGCTTTCCTGCATCGCTCGTATCGCTTCGCCGCACTTATCCATTGCCAACAAGTTTTCACCGCAGTAATTGTAAGCCTAGAGAAATTAGAACATGGACAAGCTTACAAAGCGTAAATAAGCAACAACAAGCCCAACAAGAAAAGGTGTTCCAAAAAAACTGATTGCTGTATCAGTAACTGACAGTAGAGCAATCAGTTTTTTGGAACACTTTTTCTTAAGGGAGAAACAACGACAAATATTCTCGATGGCATTTGTAATTAAATGATCGTCGACTTTTATAAATTATTGGACTTACGTAAGATTGGTAAAACGCTGATTTAAGCTCCAGATATTTCGTCCATTGGGCGGATATCTCTGGCTTGAATGGACGAAGAGTATTGGCGGCGTCCAAAAACAACTTACTGGTCTCGTTGGCTAAAGCCGAGATCAAGCTAGAATTATGTTTGAGCTCTATCGCTCTAGCCACTGTCACTGTAAAAAGAATGACGAAAAGACCATGTGAGTACATTCAAGTAAACTTATTAAAATCACGTTCTCACAAGAGTAACAACCTTCTTGCGCTTCCGCTGTGCATTGATTAACGTATGCGTTCAGTACACGAGGGTCTAAATCACTTCCTAAAGGCGGTGGGTTATCCAACTGTGGCAAAAATTCAGTTTGCACAAAAGTAAATATTCCGGCGGCCCGTCTTAACATACTGTGTACTTCTTTAGCCTCGTCCATTGTTATGCTACAATTTATGTATATTAGAAAATTAGTGAATTATATTATAATTAATAAAGAGAGATTGTATTTCTTCTAAACTCTTATATGACAATGAGAATGATTTAAAAGTCTTATTTAATTTAATCAATACTTACTCATCTTTTGCCGCAATCATCGCCGCATGTTTCATAAACCAAAGGCCTACATTGACGCTCATGTTAGCTGCTTCATAAACAGAATCGGCGCTGGAGCTTTAACAAAACATTTTTTAAATTAGAGATCGTCTTGAAATCGTTCAGAAACTCTCTTGGATTTCGTCTAATATTTTTTTATAATTATAATTACAATGTGCCGCTACCAAGTAGCGTGTGTGTCCACTTAAAGACGAGAGCATTTCTCAGCTTGCTAGGATTGGGTCTGCCAACGTGTTGCGCCTCTTCCTCGGACGGCTGGACTTCCCATAAAAATCCATACAGTAAACTGAGGTAACTGAGAAACGCGGGCTCGATCGTGTCGCTGGTATTGTTTGCATTTTTGATCAGCTCCAGAAGCCTGGCTCTTGACAGCTTTAAGTCACTGAAAACACGAAGATCTCGTAACAAAAAGAAACTTTGTATTTTTTTCGAAAGAGAGAAAAAGGAGAATTTAGACAGAAGAAAGAAAAGCAAAACTGACGTCTCGTAAATAAAATTAATGTTTTGTAGTGCAAATGTCATGCGGGTTCTATTAATTATATACGTTCACGTGACAGTTATCTCGGACTTCGTAACCTCCGGCGGCTTGGAAAAATCATCGTCAACAAGTGGCGACCGCGAAATGCGCAGTACGCGATAATTTATATCAGAAATCTGTTTTAACCTGTAAAGCTTTCTGGTGGCGTCCGTAGGATTAGAGACTTTAAACTCGAACTTCTGATTCGCCGTTGCTTTCAGCACATTACGGTGAAACCAGTGCGCCATTGCGTCGTCCGAATCTCGTGGGAGCCACGTCCGGCGATCGGCTGTCCCGATCTGGCCTCAGAGTTGTCGCTTTTTGACAGATAAGGTAAAAACGGAGTAGCTGCTGCAGCGTCACGACCGCCGCACTCAACGGTAGAGCTACTCCGCTTTCCACGGGAGATGCGTCACGTGCCTACGCGTAGTAATTGATAACAGCTCGATGTAAACGAACGAAAGAGAAAGTTATCTATAACTGAAGTGGCTGAGATTGCAATGTCAATGTTTGTCACTAATAAATCACACTATTTTGGAATTTATAAAAATATAATGAAATCTGTATTAACGAGTACAAAACATCTGTTTTGTCAATGTGTGATGGTCTCTTTAATATTAAATTCCCATATATTTTAAATTAATAAAAATTCTTAGAAATGCAATTTTGAAAGTTTTAAGTTTAAATATTAATGCGATAATCACGAAAAAGAATTATATATCAGAAGAACATATATAATGATCGGATCGATGCGATTGCATTATATAAATTATTTAACTTGCAAGAATTTTCCAAACTTTTATTTATTATAGTGTCACGTCTTTTTTTTTAACATTTTGCCAATTTTCGAATTTAATTTCTGACGGTTTATCTCTTATATTTATAAATTAATATTGAAAATTTGTTCTTGAAATTTCAGTTCTTAGAATTTTAATTATTGAAATGAGACGAGAAATAAATATTCCTTTAGATTTACGCCAATCTCCATTTTATTACATTGATTAAGTTTACTTTAAAAAATAAGATTACAAAATCATTATATAATTTATCATCGCCGTCGAGTCATCGGCGGTTGGTAATGGTTGGTAATTGACCGACGAACGGCAAATGCACCTCTTGTCCGGATCACACATAACCTTAATTAATTTTTTAATTGCAACGTGTCGAACGCGAAGCTGTCATATTGGAGCTGTGCTTGGCGATACCGCTGTTTTTTCTAATAAAATCACAGTCACGACACGTCAATATCTAGGTACGATGCGCATGCTTAGTGTACATACGCCCAAAATTGGTGTGTAACTTCATGTGGAAGACATTTTATGACGCCGAGCGTATGCGCATGCTATATATAGATAGTTGCCGACATTAGGCGTCCGTGTAACGTAGGCTCTCCTCTCTCTCACATCTCGCGTTCGCTCGCGTGACATTTTTTCTCGTGCGTACAGCGTTGCATTTACTCTGGCGTCTTTCGGCGAGGAAGAGGTAAGAGAAATGGAATTAATTTCTGCCCGCGCGTGCGGAAGGACGAGCGTCGGCGAGCAGTGTGATAAAACGCGCGATTGCCAATAACCACTAATATAACCGGGGAATCTCGGTTCGGCGACGATCGGAGTACCACTCTGCGCTACTTCGCAGCAGGTTTCTCGCAGCAGGCGGAACGATCGAGTCAAGGCAGTTCTACGCTCTGTGCGTAGAATACGCCTGGATGCTGCGTGTGCAATTTATGGGGCCGCGAAAGTTTGGAACGTGCGATCGATATGTATCGCTGATGACAATTGCCTACGACTTTCACGGCCAGTTCGAATTGTCATATGGCGGTGAGCGAATATATTGACGCCGGGAATAGGCGCGTCCTTGAATGGCGGTGTGATGGCTTTATCTGTAAACTCTTCGGCCCGGAAATAATCGCAGTCGATAAATCCTTAAAACGTCGCTTGCACAAAAGCGGCGGAGAGTGGTCCGCCTGTCGCGTCTATGTAGAACAATATGCGGCTCGACAATGGAAAACATATAACACGACATCAGTGTGTGTGTGTGTGTATGTGTGTGACTTTCAGTCTTACAAACAAACAAATGAAAAGTATAATATATGTAAATTCTGTATAGTTGTAGTTTTACATGCGCAGTTATGAGACCGAAAATTATATTATATATATTTTACAGGCACAAAAATACACAGAACATTTTCTAAACTACAAAAAAAAGAGACAAACCATGATAGATATTAGATTCAAATTTTGAACTTTATCGTGAGCATAGTGATCGTATAAATGTGTCAAAAAGTGGAGAAATACGCATAATGTTTCTACTGTAACATCGACGTTTTGATAGAATAAATATTGTGGTGTTGTTTGAAAAACAAATACAGTATACGATTTTGCAAATTATCACGAGTTTTATTGGCTTGAAATTTTGCGTGTTATTTTCGTCTCATCATTTCCGGCCTTGTGGTAATGTCGACTGCGTTAGAGATAATAATTAGATGATAATAGGTTACGTGCGCAACACTGTGTATATGGACTTTAATCGTATATCATTTAGCGAGGTACATACAAGAAACTAGAATAATCTAAAAAAATCCAAAAATTATACAAATGGTATATTAAATTAAGTTAAAAAATATTGTTTTATAGTAGAAGTGAAGCTAAACTTCAATTAATTTAATTGATTATTGCATCCAAATAATACCTATTTTCTATCTGTTATATAATGTACAGTATTTTGTTATCATTGAAGTATTAGTAATTATTTCTGTTGTTTAAAATACATAAAAGGAATTAGATTAGGGAAATTATTTAGCTAAAGATTTTACTAATTGAACAATTCTACCGGTTAAATTAATCGCCATTTAAGTAAATCGAATTTAGCCGAAAATTTATTCTAGGAGGCTAATGATATGTCTTGAATTGCAGATGGGTGAGCCGTTGGGTTTAAGCAACAGCGAAGTTCGTAAACTTTGCAAAACTCCAGACCCCTCGACAAATGGGTTTATAATGCAGCAGACGATGTACCGCATAAAAGACCCGAGAAAATCCTTGCCTTTCTATACCGAAGTCCTCGGAATGACCTTACTACAGAAGCTGGACTTTCCAGAAATGCAATTCTCCTTATATTTCCTTGGATACGAGGACCAGAAGGAAATTCCACTCGATCGTAGAGAAAGTATCGAATGGACATTCCGTAAAAAAGCGACCATAGAGTTAACTCAGTAAGTTTAAAAAAATTTGTTGAGAAATGCGTGAGAGTGAAAATATTTTTACACAGAAGATGAACGCATGTTTTAGCAACTGGGGAACAGAAACAGATCCCGATGTAAAATATTACAATGGAAATGCAGATCCCAAAGGTTTTGGTAAGAGAATTGTTAAATACATTAATTGTATTCTTAAAATTATTAGTTAAATTATGAATAGAACTAAAATACATAAAAAGAAACTTTTATAATAGTAACGCGTTTTTATTCCTCTCTTTTGAAACGCAGGTCACATTGGAATAGCAGTACCTGACGTCGACAAAGCGTGCCAGAGGTTCGAGATGTATGGTGTGGAATTCGTGAAGAAACCAAATGACGGCAAAATGAAGGGGATAGCTTTTATTAAAGACCCCGACGGGTACTGGATCGAAATCCTGCATGGCGCTAACATTGCCAATTACATGTTAGGTGCTTAATGTATACCTTGCGCCGGAGCAATAAGTCCTTAAATTCAATGTAATTCAATGTATTGAATGTAACGTTCTACTATGTAAACAAACAATCAGAGATTATTATCAAACTCGATATATATATTATATAAACTCAGTATAGATGTGAGGAACCAGAACCATTATATAAGTTAAACGCGAGTGAAAATGATACATATTTATGCGCACTATATATCTTCTAGCACACGATTGTACATTTTTTTTTTTATATTATTACATTATGTTATATGTGTAGAGTATGTAATGTTTACAGAAATTCTCGACAAATAAAATCAAAATATTTATTTTCCGTTTCCAAACGGCCGATATTTTACTGCATGACACTGATTATTTAAGTTACGCGAGTAACGCGTTGTGTGATTTATTTATCTGAAGAGACAGAAATTTTTGCGTTCGTATATTTTTGTGACACGAAAAACGCAAGAGAATCCCTTTTGAAGATTAAACTTTTAATTCGAGCTACATGCGCGTTGCAAAAAAAATTGTTTATCTCGTACACACGTCTCGCGTATACGTATATATGTTTCAAACGTATACGTATATGTATACACATATCTATATACATGACACAGGTGTAGGCCAGCGGGCGGTGTGTGGGTGTCTAACAGGAATGCCTTCCACAGTGAAGCTCTCGCGGAGCATAAAATAGAGACGACGCGGCGAATCACCGTATATGATTCGTTTCCTGACGTTTCCGTTGCTCTCCACGATACTCCCTCGCACTCACGCGTTCCCCGCGCGCCCGACGATATCGCGAGATCCTGGCTTCTCCCATATTTTCTCAATGTGCGTTTCTGAATTAGAGGTTACGCTGTCAGCCGCAACAATCTGAAACAATCCCGTATTCCCCGATAGGTACGTTTCCTTACATAAAATTCTTACACCTCGAGTTCCGCAGGCGTGTTCGCGGATCGCGATTAGTTTATCAGGCCTGAATTGTACTCGCCGCCTCGATTAAAGGACCGCACTCCCTCGCCCGTGTTCCTTCGTGCTCTAGCTGACGACTGTCATTCTGTCATCTTTTTAGGTATGGTAGAGGATAGAAAGTATGAGATTCCAAGCCGTATCGAGTGCGACGGATATCGAGGTACGTTGAAATACGTCGGACCCGTTGGGAACACCAAGGGCGAGTGGTTCGGCGTGGACTGGGACGATTCGACTCGTGGCAAGCACAATGGCACGTACGAAGGAGTAGAGTATTTTCAAGCCAGGTAAGAAAAACGAAACAGTTCACACGAAGCGATCGTGTGACATTTCGCACGATCATTTTTTAACGACGGCACCAACGATGTATAATTCTGCGTATAATTTTCAACAGACATTCCACATCGGGCTCCTTCATACGACCGGGCAAAGCCAAGTTTGGGATATCTTGTCCGCAAGCCATCAAAATGCGCTATGGGCTAATCGACGACGAATTGGCCGGCATAGACAGGGACGAGGTGTCGAGTTTGAGGAAAGAGATCAACGCACCGTTTTTAGAGCTCGTTGGCTTCTCCAAGGTGAACAAGAAACAGAGCAAGTTTGACGAACTGAAAATAGTGTGGCTGAGGGAACAGTGCGTATCCGATGCGGGTGGGCCAAGGGAATTGGAAGAATTGTGTCCTAATTTGGAGGAACTGGATTTGTCTAGAAATTTAATAAATTCGTGGAAAATCGTTGCAGATATATGCTCGCAGCTTCGTTCTCTGACGCGTCTTAATGTCAGGTGAGCCCTACAAAATTTCTTTATTTTGACTCCCTTTTTTCCCCAGTAAGACAATTCGCCTAATTTCATGATCTGAAATCACTCGTTCAATATAAAACTTTTGTAAATATCTCGGTAGTCTTAACTTTAGATCCAATGAAAACTTTTTATTCAGTTGGTTCTCTAATTTTCACAAAAAGCATAGGAGGCTCCATTCAAAAAATTCAGAACATTTAGCAATATTACAGCGTTAGAATATCGATAATTTACGTTAATAAATTGTTACTACGACTGTTTAATGTATTTTATCGTTACAAAATGTAATGTAATTATTGTAACTAAGCAGAATTTGTTTATTTTCACAGTGAAAATCACCTGCCTATAGAAGATGTGACAGCATTAAAAGATTCGTTTCCAACAGTTAAGCATTTAACTATAGCTAGAATGAATTACGACTGGTCTGATATTCGGCAATGCATATCCATGTTTCCGTCGATCAGAGAACTTTCAGTTTCTTTTAATATTGTCACGGCTATAGAAGACATAACGGCAAATACTAATTTAATGAGAATAGTTACATTAATACTCGAAGGAAATCTTATATCAAGTTGGGATGAAATACTTAAACTAGGTTCCCTTCCGTGGTAAGTTGCATTGTGTTATGAAATGTTCAACCTACTTTCTTTCTTTACTTTTTAAAGTACATATAAAATTTGCTCTTTTTGCAGCTTAGAATATCTTAATTTGAACTTAAATAAAATAGATAGAATTAGATTTCCATCTTCAACATCAACCGATAAGACTGCTTTATTTCCTATGCTACGTCAACTACATATTTCGGAAAATTACATATCAGAGGTAATAAGTTAGGTTTTCGTAGATGATAATCGAAAAAGATGTAAATTTTTGCATTTATGCAGTTAAAATTTCTAATGAATCATTATTTGGCATAATTTTAGTGGCAATCGATTAGCGAATTGGATAAGTTATCAAATCTAGAAGACTTAAAATTCAGAGGAAATCCCATTTTGAAGAACGAAACTGTGGAGACTGCTCGACAATTGATAATCGCAAGAATAGCAAAATTAAAGACCTTAAATGGCACAGAGATACCTCACGATGAAAGGAGAGGCGCCGAGTATGATTATTTAAAATTGTATTTACCAGTGTGGCTGGAAACTGAAAGTAATTTGGAGAAGAGATCATCATTTGTAAATGAATATCCGCGATATCCCATCTTAGTTGATAGTACGTATAAACTTTACATTTGTTACGCCAATAAAAAATATTTTAAATGCAAAATTGAACTTAATTATAATTTCTTGTAAGATAAAAGAACTTGTTTTACACTTTCAGAATATGGAATTGCAGATATTCCCTCGGCTAAGCCGAAAGTAGAAATGGTTTCCAATGTGATAACGGTGGAATTTGTATGTCCGGACGATCCGCGTCAGCCCAGAGGAATTAAGAGGAAGTTACTTAAAGATATGGAAGTGCAAAAAATGATTGGGCTTGCCCAGAGACTTTTCAAAACCGGTGGAAAGAGATCGGAAGAGCACACG